GGTTTCCGAATCCTTACCTGCTTTAACACCCCCGACCCCCGCCACTCCCCCCCCCCCGCCGCTTCCCCACAAATTACGGCTTTAATCCTGTGGTGCTAATTGATCAAACGACGCCAGGCTTCGAGGTGTGTTTTGTGAATTATTCATTTTATCGCCACACTTCATTTCCAATTCAACCGCTGATGCCGAACGAGAAAGTGGGTCTTCATTTCCATCCCTTCGCTCGTAACCAGAGCTTCATAGCCCTGAGAAGGCAAAAGAATAAAATAATATAATTCCCCACCACACACGCACCTCAAGTCTTTATGGAAGGGAAATAATAAAAAAAAGAGGGGGGAAAGGAAAATTAAATCTCTGCCAGAGATCCCTTCCCCGACGCGCGGCCATTAATTAATTATTTATGGCCTTCGGTAATGGGCCGTTTACCGAGCGCCGCAGCTCTGCATAAACTTTTAACGCTTCCCCTGCTCCCAGAGAACTCTCCATTCGAAAAGCCCCAGCGCTGTAAATCTCGAACCCGACCAGGCGAAAAACTCTCTTAATAGCGCAGTGGCATCGACGCGGGTGGCGCTGTGGGTTAAACCACAGAGCCTAGGACTTGCCGATCAGAAGGTCGGCGGTTCGAATCCCCGCGACGGGGTGAGCTCCCATTTCTCGGTCCCTGCTCCTGCCAACCTAGCAGTTCGAAAGCACGTCAAAGTGCAAGTAGATAAATAGGTACCGCTCCGGCGGGAAGGTAAACGGCGTTTCCGTGCGCTGCTCTGGTTCGCCAGAAGGGGCTTAGTCATGCTGGCCACATGACCTGGAAGCTGCACGCCGGCTCCCTCGGCCACGACTGGACCTAATGGTCAGGGGTCCCTTTACCTATACCTTATCGTCTGCTTAGGCCTTGGCTTGGTACAGAGTCAGACCGCTTGGTTCATCTGCCTCGCGTCCAGCTATGCTGAACGGCAGTGGCTCCTCCAGGTTGTCGGATTGTGGGTCTTAAAGATCGCCCTCTCAGGCCCGGCGTCCAGAATTTGCCAGGAGCATTTTGCCACCTGGCTATCGGCTACTTGCCATCAAGTGAAGATGCCCAGGTGTCAGGATGGGGCCCAACGTCTCCACCAGCTGGAGGCGCATGTCTGGGGTCTTTGGATCGTTCCTGTTTTCCCATAAAGTGGTACCTCGGGTTAAGAACTTAATTCATTCTGGAGGTCCGTTCTTAACCTGAAACTGTTCTTAACCTGAAGCACCACTTTACCTAATAGGGCCTCCTGCTGCCGATGCTCCACTGCCACGCGATTTCTGTTCTCAACCTGAGGTAAAGTTCTTAACCCGAGGTTAGTGGAGTCTGTAACCTGAAGCATCTGTAACCTGAAGCGTCTGTAACCTGAGGTACCACTGTACTAGCAACACATCTTGTAGAATTCTATCAGTTCCATTTTACCTGCGCAATCAGAATTAATTAATTGGGCTGGGTGTTCATCAGTATGCAGATGACACCCAGCTCTACCTCTCCTTTAAATCAGAACCAGTGAAGATGGTGAATGTCCTGTGTGAGTGTCTGGAGGCAGTTGGAGGATGGATGATGGCTAACAGATTGAGGTTGAATCCTGACAAGACAGAAGTACTGTTCTTAGGGGACAGGAGGTGGGCAGGTGTGGAGGACTCTCTGGTCCTGAATGGGGCAACTGTGCCCCTGAAGGACCAGGTGCGCAGCCTGGGAGTCATTTTGGACTCAGCTGACCATGGAGGTACAGGTCAATTGTGTGTCCAGGGCCGCTGTTTACCAGCTCCATCTGGTACGCAGGCTGAGACACTCCCTCCTTGCGGACTGCCTCGCAAGATTGGTGCATGCTCTAGTTATCTCTCGCTTGGACTACTGCAATGCGCTCTATGTGGGGCTACCTTTGAAGTTGACCCGGAAACTACAACTAATCCAGAATGCGGCAGCTAGACTGGTGACAAGGAGTGGCCACTGAGACCACATAACACCGGTCCTGAAATACCTGCGTTGGCTCCCAGTACGTTTCTGAGCACAATTCAATGTGTTGGTGCTGACCTTTAAAGCCCTAAACGGCCTCAAAGGCCCAGTATACCTGAAGGAGCATCTCCATCTCCATTGTTCAGCCCGGACACGGAGGTCCTCCTCTGAGGGCCTTCTGGCGGTTCCCTCCTTGCGAGAAATGAGGTTACAGGGAAATGGGTAGAGGGACTTCTCAGTAGTCGCACCCCTCCTGTGGAACACCCTCCCATCAGATGTCAAGGAAATAAACAACTATCTGACTTTTAGAAGACATCTGTAGGCAGCCCTGTTTAGGGAAGTTTTTAATGTTTGATGTTTTATCGTGTTTTTTAATATTCTGCTGGGAGTATTCAGATGGCCTGACTTCATACATTATTAAGTTTGGTACTGCATCCCTCATGGCCTCAAATGGTGCAAACTTAGGTCCTGGTGACCCCAGGATATGACTAATTTTTAAATTATCATCCATTCTGAGACCTGCAAGCTTCTAGTTTCTCTATATTGATTAGGAACTGCCTTGTGTGATTGTTACAGTCTTTCCCCGGATTCAAGTCTTCTTTGGAATGGCCCTTTCATCCATGATCTAACTGCACATCATCTGAGAAAAAAAAGATGCTTGTTTCTCTAGAGGATGCACCTCAGTCCTGGAGCTCTGCTATAAAGGCGCTGTGGTCTAAACTGTCGCTCTCCGTATGTGACACAGAAGATGATGAACTACAACCTGTTGAAATCAATAAGACAGCAATTCCTCAAATCGGTTTTGTTAAGTGGATGTGCAGTTTGTTTCGTCCAGAAATATCAAGGCCATAATCCTTTCTTTCGTTAACAAAACAAAAACGAGATACGAAATGTTTTCATACATGGAGTCGTATCACCGTTTCTCTGTTTTGCTCTCTCGTTCTTGGACTGAAAAGATAAATAAATGTGATGCCATGGGCTGAAAACTGGTTTAAAGGTTGGGGAGGATTCTCCACCTAATGACAGGAAAACGCAATTTAATAGTGAAAAGCGACTGGAAATGTTCATCGCAACCCACTCTCTCTCTCACGCTCACAAAGGTCATTTGGGTTGAATTTCAGCAGTGTGTAATAACCTAAATAGTTGGGACATATAACTCACTACGCAGAATTTCCAGGGAAGTCAAGGTCAGTCTGAAGGTAAAATTTGAGGAAAAGTGAACATTGGACTTCCTGGGTTAGAGGCCAGTAGAAAGAAAGCAGCCTAAAATGACTTTTGTTTTATTTTATTATACATTATTTTATTTTAGTTATCCCCCCCCTCACTCTTAGGTCCCATGGTTGGCTACGACTATTAAAGAACAATCTTAAAAACAGTTTAAAGCAACTTACAACCATAAAAATAAGCTGAGCCCAAAAATATATATACCTCAAGTGAAGCGGTATGTCTTCAACATCCTCTGGAAGCTTTATAATGAAGATGCCTACTCTGTGGGGAGGGAGTTCCACAGCCTGGGGGCCACCACGGATAAGGCCCTGCCCTCCCAGTACGCAAAAAAGGAAGGGAAGGAGGCGGTCTTTCAGATATTTGGGGCCTGAGTCATTCAGGGCTCTAAACATCAATGTGAGGACCTTGATGGGCCCTGAAACAAACCAACTTTGAAAGAGGACTAGAGAAATTCATGGAACAGAAGGCTATCCATGACAAATAGCCACAACAGCATACCGCAATGCCTCAACAGCAAAATCTGGGACACCATCTTCCCTTTTTGCTTGCAAGAGTACAGCAGCCATGATATCGTGCAATTTCTTACTGCGATTTCCCCCCAAAAAGCTCTTTTGGGGTATGGCACCCCAAAACAGGTGTTTTGCGGTGATGTACAAGATCCCAGCCCTGAAAAATGTGCTTGGGGGGGGGGATCGCGGTACAAAATCTCACAACATCATGGCAATCCCAACGGCCGCTATTCTCTTGCAAAGAAAAACGGGATGTCCCATTTGTTCAGGGCTTTTGTGGGGTCAGCAATGGCTCTTTTCTCTTTGGAAATCACTTGTAGCGAAGTAAGATTGTCTTCCATGAACACGTTCTTAGCAGTAAGTCCGTAAGTGACTGTGAAGGCCAATTCTGGATCCACACGTCCTTCCACAGTGGGGACATTCTGTTCCCGGGCAGGAGTTGATCACGGTGAGGGTTTGCCAAGCATGCACGTTTCTCCTTGCGTCCTGAGTTTGAGGGTCTTCAAAGCCCATGACACCTTTGGTAAAGGCTGTTCTCCAATTGGAGCGCTCGCAGGCCAGTGTTCCCCAATTGTCAGTGTTTATATTACATTTTTTTAGATTTGCCTTGAGAGAGTCTTTATACCTCTTTTGTTGACCACCAGCACCACGCTTTCCATTTTAAAGTTCGGAATAGAGTACAGTACCTTGGGTTACATACGCTTCAGGTTACAGACGCTTCAGGTTACAGACTCCGCTAACCCAGAAATATTACCTCGGGTTAAGAACTTTGCTTCAGGATGAGAACAGAAATCGTGCATCGGCAGCGCAGCGGCAGCAGGAGGCCCCATTAGCTAAAGTGGTACCTCAGGTTAAGGACAGTTTCTGGTTAAGAACGGACCTCTGGAATGAATTAAGTTCTTAACCCGAGGTACCACTGTAATTGCTTTGGAAGACGATAGTCAGGCATCTGCACAACATGACCAGTCCAACGAAGTTGATGTCGAAGAATCGTTGCTTCAACACTGGTGATCTTTGCTTCTTCCAGTACACTGATATGAGTTCACCTGTCTTCCCAAGTGATGTGCAAGATTTTTCGGAGACACCGTTGACGGAATCTTTCGAGGAGTTGGAGGTGACGTTTACAAGTGGTCCATGTTTCACAAGCATATTGTTAGGTTGGTAGTACAATAGCTTTGTAAACAAGCCTTTTGGATTTCTTACGTCCACCTGGGCTTGTCTACCTGGAGATGCTCTACTTATCATAGAATCATAGAATCATAGAGTTGGAAGAGACCACAAGGGCCATCGAGTCCAACCCCCTGCCAAGCAGGAAACACCATCAGAGCACTCCTGACATATGGTTGTCAAGCCTCTGCTTAAAGACCTCCAAAGAAGGAGACTCCACCACACTCCTTGGCAGCAAATTCCACTGTCGAACAGCTCTTACTGTCAGGAAGTTCTTCCTAATGTTTAGGTGGAATCTTCTTTCTTGTAGTTTGGATCCATTGCTCCGTGTCCGCTTCTCTGGAGCAGCAGAAAACAACCTTTCTCCCTCCTCTATGTGACATCCTTATATATATTTGAACATGGCTATCATATCACCTTAACCTCCTCTTCTCCAGGCTAAACATGCCCAGCTCTCTTAGCCGTTCCTCATAAGGCATCGTTTCCAGGCCTTTGACCATTTTGGTTGCCCTCCTCTGGACACGTTCCAGTTTGTCAATGTCCTTCTTGAACTGTGGTGCCCAGAACTGGACACAGTACTCCAGGTGAGGTCTGACCAGAGCAGAATACAGTGGCACTATTACTTCCCTTGATCTAGATGCTATACTCCTATTGATGCAGCCCAGAATTGCATTGGCTTTTTTAGCTGCCGCGTCACACTGTTGGCTCATGTCAAGTTTGTGGTCAACCAAGACTCCTAGATCCTTTCACATGTACTGCTCTCAAGCCAGGTATCCCCATCTTGTATTTGTGCCTCTCATTTTTTTGCCCAAGTGCAATACGTTACATTTCTCCTGTTAAAATTAATCTTGTTTGTTTTGGCCCAGTTCTCTAATCTGTCAAGGTCGTTTTGAAGTGTGATCCTGTCGTCTGGGGTGTTAGCCACCCCTCCCAGTTTGGTGTCATCTGCAAATTTGATCAGGATGCCCTTGAGTCCATCATCCAAGTCGTTGATAAAGATGTTGAATAAGACCGGGCCCAAGACAGAACCCTGTGGCACCCCACTAGTCACTCTTCTCCAGGATGAAGAGGAAGCAGCCTAAAATGACTTTTACTTAGCAATGCTGGAGATTGTGCCTGGGACCTCCTGCATGCATCCACTGAGCTGTTGTGATGACTACAAGCTCTGCACACACCTGCACAGAAACCTGGCTCTGCTCCATCGAAAAGAAACAGAACTTCTAAGATATGCAGGTGAGCTACTGTAACACCCAATTAATGATTATGAGGCGTTTGACTACTTCAATAACAGAGTCTACAAAAGCACTTATTACAGATGGATTCACAGCTGGTGCCCAGGTGTGTGCATTTTGGCAAGAGCAGAAGGGGATCGCCCCCAACATTTTGGCTTAGACGAAATTTGCAACTCTTTCCTAACAGGTTTCCTTTTCCATTTATTTTGAAGGGGAGGACCTTCCCATGTCCCCGGTCTTTGAACACCCCAGCCATGGCTGCACCCATTACTTTGGATGGAGCAAAGGTTCCATGGGGGTGGAATCGAAAGATGCTTAATATCCAGGTGGAATTGAGGCTCTGGCAACATTTCCAAGCCTTTCCGGGTGGGGCGGGGAGAGAGAAACGGCGATATTTTTACGGCTCCTCTTATGACAGACATTATTCTGCTCAAATGTGGTTACCGGACCATTAGTATTTAAATCAGCTGATAATACGTCGGGAGCTATTCCTGCCAAAACTAACTTTACAGCTGGCCACAGCGACGCAAAGTTCTAATGGGCCGGTTTAAGCCGTTTATGTCAAACAAGCTTTGATTTTTAGCCTGCGGCGGTGATAAAATGCAGACGTACAATTTGGTGAGATTAGCACTTCTCCTCCGGCCACAAAAGGGAGGATTATGAGTTCATGGGAGGCGGGGAAAATGGGTTATGAGGGAGAAATGTATGGAAGCGCATAGAGTTGGTTTTTTTGTTTTTTTTAAATGTACTAATGTCCTACAGAGAAAGCCGACAAAGGAACAGAGCCAGGAGGATATTGTTGAATTATTCCGTGGGTCATTTACTCTACAGGTTATCGGTTCCAGAGAAAATGGCTGACTAATTTTAGGCTCATATTATTTGCTGCCGCACTGCCAAATGTTGGGTTCTTGGAGCATGTCAAAGCCGAGTCCCAGTCATGCCATGTGTCTTTTTGAGGCTTGTGGGCACCATTGAATTTCTGGGCGACTGCTGTGGGTGCCGCCCTCTCTGGTAACTTATCTCTTCAGCAATGGACAACTGCAGGAAGGGAGTCTGCCAGCAGGGTCCTTCGGAGTTACAAGTGCGCAGTTAATCATGAAATAATAAATCCCTGCATAAATTGCGCTCCGTATTGTGTGGATTGCTCTGCCAGGTGGGATTAGACTTGATGAAGCAAAAAGGCCATGTGTGGATCCTGCTTGCAATGTCTATCTTTTACCTCCAGCACTGGAGACAAGATGTCTCCAAATGCCCAGAAGACCAGGAGAGGAGGGCATGTTTCTCCAGGTCTGCTTATGGGAAACCAGATGTCATAATAGATGGTCATTGGAAGCTGCTCTAACATAGTCACATGCACAACTTGGAAAGTTCTGTTTTATTATTTGACAAAACATACCGTATTTTTCGCTCCATAAGACGCACCTGACCATAAGACGCACCTAGTTTTTAGAGGAGGGAAACAAGAAAAAAACAATTCTGAATGAAACAGTGGATGTATGATTTTTGTGGTTCATGCTATGGCCACAGACATGTGATTTGATGGTGAGTTTGGGGTGAGAATCCATGTGGATCCGTGCTTTGTAACCAGGTTTTAGTGCCATTGCGACCCCACGAAACAGTGGATGTGTGATTTTTTTAGTGCAGCCTGTAGCCATGGACATGCTATGTGATCTGATGGTGAATTTGGGGTGACCCAACGCAAAAATCCTGAGGATCCATGTGGTAATTAAATCCCCATCTTTGAGAGGAACTGCTTCTCATTCGAGTTCAATATTTCCCAAAGGGAACAAATTTCATTTCACGTCCGTCACTTTACAAAATGAGCTAGTTCAGTTCCCCTTCAGTTCAATTCAGGTTCATCCAAATATGAACAAAATATGTATCACCATTCAGAATGTTACAAGCTGAAAGGACCAAAGTGTTTTAAGAGTTCCCTTTTATAAGGTGTAAGAAAAGGAACTAAAAATCATTCAAATGTCTATCTCAGTGGTTCCCCAACTCATAGAATCGTAGAGTTGGAATACACCCAAAGGTCATCTAGTCCAGCCCTCTGCAGTGCAGGAATCTTTTCTGGGGCCATTGCCCCCATGGTCCCATAAACTCATCCCCTACTCTATAAAAAGCATTTTTCGAAAAAGCAGTTTGCGCGATCCACTAAGGAAGAAAATAACAGCACAACAGAATTCAAAACAGTAGCAATTTATTTCACATTTATTCGAAATCCAATGGGAACGATTCAGTTCAGTGAGTCCAACAAAACTGGTGAATTTGATCCAGCAATAGCAGCTTTTCAAAGTCGGAGAGTCATTCACACCTCCGGTACCCATGTCAGGGACTGGGGGGCCACTGACGAGGGAAGCGGGGCTGGAGTGGAGAGTGGGGAGCAGGGATTTGTGGGGACCTGAACCAGCCGGGAAGTGAGAATCAGAGGCAGGGAAGCTTCAGAGCAGGAGGAAGAGAAGGAAGAAGCAGGTCAGTGAAATATACTGAGGGTCCTGTAGTGATTCCATGCTCTTTATTGCAGCTTGTAAAACAGTGATTGAATTGCCCCCCAAAACCTCAGGCTTTTATATACATTATTTGCACAATGAGCCCCACCTGATTGGCTGATTCTGCTTCCCTCCTGGAGCCTGATTGGTCTTTTCCTGCAGGCCAATCAGTTGTTGCATTCTACGATTGTTGTTGTTTAGTCGTTTAGTCGTGTCCACCTCTTCGTGACCCCCTGGACCAGAGCATGCCAGGCACTCCTGTCTTCCACTGCCTCCTGCAGTTTGGTCAAACTCATGCTGGTAGCTTCGAGAACACTGTCCAACCATCTCGTCCTCTGTCGTCCCCTTCCCCTTGTGCCCTCCATCTTTCCCAACATCAGGGTCTTTTCCAGGGAGTCTTCTCTTCTCATGAGGTGGCCAAAGTCTTGGAGCCTCAGCTTCAGGATCTGTCCTTCCAGTGAGCACTCAGGGCTGATTTCCTTCAGAATGGATAGGTTTGATCTTCTTGCAGTCCGTGGGACTCTCAAGAGTCTCCTCCAGCACCAGCCTACTTCCTCCTGGTGCCTGATTGGTCTTCTCCTGCAAGCCAATCAGTTGTTGCATTCTAGGATCCTACTTGCCTATTGTTCTAGGATCCAAGCTTAGTATATAACAGTCAGGCAAGTGAAGGGGTAGCTGCTTCCCCACCATCTCCCGCACCACTGCTTCCCAGAACCAGAAGAGAATTCAAGTGGGAAGGGCAAAGGCAGCTTCCTCTGTCTGCATGGCACAGCCTGTCAGGGGGAGGTTCATAAACTGGTGTTAAAGGTAAAGGTAAAGGGACCCCTGACCATTAGGTCCAGTCGTTGCGGCGCTCATCTCGCTTTACTGGCCAAGGGAGCTGGTGTACAGCTTCTGGGTCTTGTGGCCAGCATGACTAAGCTGCTTCTGACAAACCAGAGCAGCACACGGAAACGCCGTTTACCTCCCCGCCGGAGCGGTACCTATTTATCTACTTGCACTGGCGTGCTTTCGAACTGCTATGTTGGCAGGAGCAGGGACCGAGCGACGAGAGCTCACCCCGTCGCGGGGATTCGAACCGCCGACCTTCTGATCGGCAAGTCCTAGGCTCTGTGGTTTAACCCATAGCGCCACCCGTGCCCCTAAAACTGGTGTTATCTTTGACAATAAAGAGTTTGTATCTGCCATGTGTGCTCCTTTGGCTGAGAAGCATCCTCAAGAACTCCCTTGCCTCCCTTAGCGCCCCCCGCCTAGATATTCCCCCCACCAAGGGGTAGCACTGCCTGCTTTGGGAACCACCGCTCTATTCCAAAACAAGCTTAAAACTCCATTTAGTTCCCTCGGCAGTTAAGAGAACTGCTCTCAGGTACAGCTCTGAGATTTCCAAATTAATTCAGGCAGCTTTGTGAAGCTAAGCCAGTTCTTTCCAAGCTGTGGCCGCATGGGCGAATGTCTTATTTGTACCTTTCCTTACACAGGGGAATTTCTCCCTGCAGGGAGATGTTCATTTTCTGCAATGGCATCAGTTGATTCAAAACCAGGACAGACACCATCAGATTCCACCGGAGCATTTTCCGAGTTTGACGTGAGGTCCTTAAACACTTCCTTTCCCTCCCTTCTGCAAAACTGGGCCAACAGCACCTGACAGCAGGGCCGTATGCGGGTATTTATGACTCGGTGTTTGGTTGCTATAGCAACAGAAGCCAGATAAATATCTTGTCAGGAAGTGGATGCAAGTGGTGGAAGACTTATGCCTGGACGCCCTCGTCCCATTAGCGGTGGCTTCGGAAATAGCGGTGACTGACAGCCTGGATCACAGAATTGTCCCTGGAAACTGAGACAGAAAACAGTTTAAGTCCTGTTTGATGACCCCGTGGAGGTTAATGGGATTCAGTTTGGGGCAGCCTCTCAGCTGTTGGTCTTGGACCAGGGGGTGTCTAAAGCATCTGAGCATCTGAAACTGTCCATCGGTCCATTTTATCCCAATATTTCTGTGTCAGATGGTGGCGACTCCTGGGGTGTCTTTGGGTGGAGATGTGGGATATTACAGGTGTGGGGTTTCGCACCTGGGACCTTGTGAGTGAGAGCAACATGTGATCTACCATTGGGCAGCCATGACCTTGGTTTGACACTCTGCCATAAAACAACCTACTGGTTCGTCTTACCTCCCTTTGTAGGTTGTTCTGTGGACAAAAGGAGCTAGCTGAGCTTGAAGACCTGCAATGACACCGAAGCAAGGACGCTACATCTTTCAACTCAGGTCTACGGCACGGAGCTGTAGAGTTGGAATGGGTTCCCCAAGGGTCATCCAGCCCAACCTCTGCAATCCTGACTTGCTTATTATGCTGTCAGCAGTTAATGGATCCCGGTTTAACCACACTGATGGGTTAGGTTGCCTGAGGCTGTTTGCCACCCTTGGCCACCGCGGGAACATCGGCCTAAGCCCGCTCTCACCAGAAGAGAGTGGAGAATGGAAGAACGCAATGGGAAAGAACCAGAGGCAAGATAGCTATCAACTGGAGAACTTCCTTGCAAGCAAGACTCTTTGATCGCTTACATTCAAAGCAAGAGATAAAATGGAAATAAAGCAATGAGTATTTACTCTTCCTTCGCGTTTCCTTTAATGCTGTCTAATTACGGCAGCTGACAACCATCTTCCGTGGCGCAATTAGCACTGCGTTCCACTCTGCTCAACTGATTCCTCCCTGGGTTTTGATTTTGGCGTGTGTGCCTTCCACGCTTTGGCCCAATGTGCCGCCGTGTACCTTGGGGCTTACCCCCATCTACCTGGCTTGCGAAACCCTGATTTGCGGACGTGTGGCATGCGGGCATTGCAAACAGAGGTGCACCCACCCGCCCCCCCTCCGGATCTGGTTTTGCTGTTCAGGGAGGCCTCGGCTGCCTGCCGCTCGACTTGCGTCGCCTCATCAGCAAGGGCAGCGCGTTGCAGGAAGTGGCATATGCCGCAGCAGATGCTGCCGAATCAATCCCCGGTAATGATGAGAGAATGAAATTACTCATCCGCCATCGCCGCAGCTTGAATGGGCTTGCAGTGTTCCTGGAGAGGCGGCTGGCTGAGAGCAAACCAGAAACAGATTCCATGGACAGAATCACCTTGCTTGTCATTTGGTCCGGATTCTGCCCTCTGGAGCATCACCGTCCATTGGACAGCCCTTCAGATAGTTGGAAGATGTCCATCACATCAACTCGGTCTTCTCTTCTCCAAGCGAAACAGCCCCAAATCCCTCAACCATTCCTCATAAGGTTTGGTTTCCAGGCCCTTGGTCGTCTTGGTTGCCCTCCTCTTGGTCGCACACTTTCCAGATTGTTGATATTCTTCTGGATATCGGACTGAATACTGGGCACAATATTCCAGGTATGGTCTGACCAAGGCAGAATGGAATGGTACTATTCCTTCCCTTGATCTTGACAATCAACTTCTGAAGACTACAATTGCATTAACTTTTTTTGCTGCTGCATCACACTGTTGACACATGTCGCAGAAGACAGAGGAAGCTTGTTTCCTGGTAAGACAGGAACCAGTGGAATCAGAAGACAGGATATTTCATCTAAATATTAGGAATAACTTTCTGATAGTAAAAGCTGTTCGACAGTGGAGATGACCCAGGAAGCTGGTGGACTCTCTCTCATCAGAGGTTTCTCAACAGAGGTGGAATGGCCATCCATTTGGGATTCTTCAGCTAAGACTCCTGTAATGTGTGGAGTTGAACTGGATTATTACCCTGGGGGTCTCCTCCAACTCTGCAATTCTATGATTCTAATTTCTCACCAAATCTGGGTTGTGATTGGCCAGAATTTTGAAAAACAAAGAGGATTATTATGGGAGGGAGGGAATAGAGTTGTGTGTGAATGAGCTCTCTGTGTGTGCAGAGAAATCGGGAGTGGGATTTCACCCTGTCTCTCCAGTCAGAGGAGAAACCTTCAAGCATCTTCATTTATTTTTCTCCTTCGGGATTTTTCTTTTTTCTGTTGCTGCCACTGCAAGTGAAAAAAAGGGAGAGGAATTAACTCCAGGTGTAGCAAAACACTGTTTATTGTGAACCCAACGTGTTTCAAGGAAAAATCCTTTACCAAGGTCACATCTTTAAAGAAACAATTCTAACAAACTAGGAATACTGCAGAGGCTCTGGGTGGGCTTGCAATAAACAATATTTTGTAGCACCTAAAGCTTCTCCTCTACTCCTTATGTTCGTTGCCTGATAGCGTTGCTACCCAACTTCTGTGATTAACTCTTTCATTTTCATTTTTATTTTAAATATCTTATTTACATATAAAACACATACATTTACATTTACACAATACATATGCACAATACACTACCTTATTTTCACAGCATAAAACATACCTACATGACTCTATCTAATACCTACCTATACTGTACATATCAACATACCTACACTCCTACCCCACACGGACACCCGCCAAGTGATTTGACTTTCAGCCATTCTTGTTACGCTACTTTATTTTTCCAACTAGCTGAAAGGCATTTCATTATTTCTTTAATCTCTTCTTCTGTCTTGACTTTACTCTCCTTTCACTCTCATCATTTTCTGGATTCACTCAATATCTGTCAGAAATTCTACTTTTTCCACATAGATTTTGATGCATTCCTTAAAGATAGCCCACTCCTTTGATTAACACTTTCAAATGCCATTGGAAGACGTCACGCCACCATTTTATATCCTCCACAGTGCCCAATACCATACCCCACAAGTGACCCGGAAAACCCAGGGCATCCCGTCTTTTTCTCGCAAGAAAATGATCACCACAATCTTGTGTGATTTCACACCACAATTCCCCCCTGGAAAAAATGCTTTTGTGGGGTCATAATCTCACGTGGCACCCAAAAACACATTTTTTTATTGCCATGCCTGGAAAACCATTCCATCACAAGAGGAACTGAGGACCACCAACTACCGAAAGCTACTAGCCACAATGGCTATGTTTTCTTACCACTATTCCCAGATGCTGAGAATTACAAGTGGGGAGCGGGCTGTCATCCTCAGGACCTGCTTGGGGGTTTATAGTTGGCCCCTGTAAGAACAGGACACGGGAGGTGGTCCCCCTTTGGCCAGCAAGATCCAGCAGCCAAACCCTTCTTATATCACTCTAGGGCAGTCACCCCCAAATAAATTGTAGAACCCCTTCTGCAAAGCAGCCTTCCTTTAACAGGAGTAGGGGGAAACAGTGGGTCATAGTCCCACTCTATTCTGCCTTGGCCAGACCAACCACACCTGGAATGCCGTATCCCATTCTGGGCACCACAGTTTAAGAATCAGAAGAATCAATGGAAGTTGTAGTACCACTCTATTCTGCCTTGGTCAGATCCTGGAATCCTGTGTCCAGTTCTGGACACCACAGTTTAAGGAGGATGTTGACAAGCCGGCAGGTGTGCAGAGGAAGGCAACCAAGATGACCAAGGGTCTAGGAGCCAAGCCTTATGAGGAACGGTTGAAGGAGCTGGGTATGTTTAGCCTGGAGAAGAGGAGACTGAGAGGAGATATGATAGTCATCTTTAAATAGCTGAAGGGCTGTCAATGGGGAAATGGAGCGAGCTTATTTTCTCCTGCTCCAGGGGGGAGGACCTGTAGCAGTGGATTCAGATTTCATAAAAGGAGATTCCGACTGAACATTAGCAAGAACTTTCTGATGGTAAGAACGGTTCGATGCTGTAGGACCACCTTGAAAGGTTGTGGACTCTCCTCTGTTTGATGTTTTCAAGCAGAGGTTGGATGGCCATCTGTCATGGGTGCTTTAGCTGAGATTCCTGCATTGCAGGGGGTTGGACTAGATAACCCTTGTGGTCCTTCCAACTTTACAATTACAGTGGTACCTCGGGTTAAGAACTTAATTCATTCTGGATGTCCGTTCTTAACCTGAAACTGTTCTTAACCTGAGGTACCACTTTAGCTCATGGGGCCTCCTGCTGCCGCCGCACGATTTCTGTTCTCATCCTGAAGCAAAGTTCTTAACCCGAGGTACTATTTCTGGGTTAGCGGACTCTGTAACCTGAAGCGTCTGTAACCCGAGGTACCACTGTCTTTGATTCTACTGTCCCCACCTCCAGAAAAATATCTGAATTTTTTTTTGCCTATCTGTACAATAGAGTCCAGCAATATTCCAGCCAAACATCCTTTCCGCTTTAGCCTTCTGGGCGGTTAAGTACAATTGAAATTTTAGCTCTGGTTGATGGACCCTGGTGGCACTCGACCGCCTTGTTCAACATGCGGCTTATGTAAAATTCTGTGCAAAGAGGCCCAAATTCCTTTATGAGCCTTTAATACTGTTGGAGGGTGGCTGTTTCCCCCCTTTCCCTTTATGATCTCTGTGTTATTACGGCGGGCTTCCCGCAGTGCCATCCACCGCCTCCGAGCCAAATTAATCTGTGTTTTTCTTTTCCCAGTGTCATTAGGAAAACGACTTGTAAATATAGTTCCCTATTCTGCATTGTTGAGTGGAGTTTGTTTGGGTTTTCTCCCCCAACTCCCCCGTAGATGTTTGGTTAGGGTTGTTTGCAGAGCCCCATCCTGCAGACTCCGAATAAAAGGACCTTCTCAGAGTGGAGCCTCGGATAATAGCAGTGCATTTACCGTTTGCTTGAGAGAACATTCAGCCTCTGCATCTATTTTGGGAGGTGGAATTAGCGGCATGCAAAAATCTGTCCCTTTGTGCTCCTGCAGAGTTCTGTGCTTCCCTGACCCCTGTTCTGAACAACAGAGGCCAGTGGCATGGGGGAGCACCCCTTAACCCATAGCTGTGAATGTTTTCCTTTTTTTAAGGGTAAAAGGTAAAGGTAAAGGAAGCCCTGACCATTAGGTCCAGTCACAGCTGACTCTGGGGTTGCGTAGCTCATTTCGCTTTACTGGCCGAGGGAGCTGGCGTACAGCTTCCAGCTTATGTGGCCAGCATGACTAAGCCGCTTCTGGCAAACCAGAGCAGTGCACGGAAATGCCGTTTACCTTCCCGCCAGAGCGGTACCTATTTATCTACTTGTACTTTTTGTGCTTTCGAACTGCTAGGTGGGCAGGAGCAGGGACTGAGCAACGGGAGCTCACCCCGTCGTGGGGATTCAAACCGCCGACCTTCTGATTGGCAAGTCCAAGGCTCTGTGGTTTAACCCACAGCGCCACCCACGTCCCTTAAATTCCCTTATTCCGAATAGGATTCCTCGCAAGAAAAGAGAAAAGTTGACAGCTATGCTTAACCTTGCCCCTGTGCCTGCATTGCAATGAGCTCCTTGTCAGGGGTGGAGGAAGGGGGTGCTATGGGGGTGGACTGCCCCGGGTGTCTTTGTTGAGGGGAGTGACATTTGGCACACTGCCTGCCTGCAACTCCCAAACCTACCCCGAGCCGTCAAGGGAAGGGGAGGAGCTGCACCGTCTTGTCGGCGGCATATTCCCTTTCCCCTTCATTTTCACAGTGTGCTGGGCCTGGGGGTTAACCCGAACAACGCAGTCCAGGTCCAATCCTGAACCCAAGGATTCCACAAGGAGTCAGTCCAACAGGGCCAAGGCAGGAAAGTCCAGTCAAAGCCGACTATGGGGTTGCGACACTCTTCTCGCTTTCAGGCTGAGGGAGCCAGCGCTTGTCCACAGACAGTTTTCCAGGTCATGTGGCTAGCATGACTAAATCGCCAGCATGACTAAATGCCAGCATGACTAGGCGCGCTACTGGCACCGAGATGAGTGCCAGAGCGCATGGAAATGCCGTTTACCTTCCCTGCCGCAGTGGTGCCTATTTATCTACTTGCGCTGGCATGCTTTTGAACTGCTAGGTTGCGCAGGAGCTGGGACAGAGCAACGGGAGCTCACCCCGTCGCAGGGATTCAAACCGCCAACCTTCTGATCAGCAAGCCCAAGGGCTCAGTGGTTTAGACCACAGAAACAGTCATGCAAAATGTGTATTATGTAAGTGAATGCATTGTGAATTGCCCTGTCTGTGTAAAAAGCACACAGAAAAGTTCATACCATGGAGATGGGCCTCTGATGAAGGCCAAAATGGAATGATGGAAGGCGCGTTTCAGCCCGTCCACTAATTGGGAGTTATTTTGTTTTTACAACAAATTGAAAAATTAAGCAAATGAGTCCCATTTGTTTCATTCCTTTTAGTTAAGGATTTAAACAGATGAGTTCTGAATGGAAACACATTCATTAATTGCATGTGATTTTTTTTGGTAGTTTCTTTTGGGGTGGAAGATGTACAGGGCTGGGCTGGGAGGCACAGGGTGATGGTGATGAGGTCTGAGCTATGTAGATGCACCAGCAGAACCAATTCAGTGCTCCCATTTATGCCTCTGGGGGGCTCTAACCTTGCTTGTGGGCTGCCCCTCCCCATCACCATCAAGGTAGGCTACATTGACACCGGGATCAGGTGAGCAGCGCCACATCTCTGCCCACCACGCAAGGTGCAGCTGAGCTCAGAAGGCCCTTCCTTGTGAACATGGTTCAACTGGAAGAGAAAGCCCTTTTGGGACCAGCTCTAAAGGTAAAGGTAAAGGTAAAGGGATCCCTGACCATTAGGTCCAGTCGTGGCTGACTCTGGGGTTGCGGCAGTCATCTCGCTTTATTGGCCGAGGGAGCCGGCGTACAGCTTCTGGGTCATGTGGCCAGCATGACTAAGCCGCTTCTGGCGAACCAGAGCAGTGCACGGAAACGCCGTTTACATTCCTGCTGGAGTGGTACCTATTTATCTACTTGCACTTTGACGTGCTTTCAAACTGCACTTTGCACTTTGACGTGCTTTCAAACACCAGAAGCAGCTTAGTCATGCTGGCCACATGACCCGGAAGCTGTACGCTGGCTCCTCGGCCAATAAAGTGAGATGAGCACCGCAACCCCAGAGTCAGCCACAACTGGACCTAATGGTCAGGGGTCCCTTTACCTTTACCTACCTCGGTTTACGAACTTAATCTGTTCCGGAAGTCCGTTCTTAAACCAAAACCATTCTTAAACTGAGGCTCCCTTTCCCTAATGAGGCCTCCCGCCACCAGTGCCCTTCCAACCGTTCGGCTTCTGTTCTTAGACTGAGGTAAATGTTCGCAAACTGGGACACTATTTCCAGTTTCGGAGTTCATAAACTGAATAGTTCGTAAACAAGGCTGTTCTTAAACCAAGGTACAGTGGTACCTCGGGTTAAGTACTTAATTCATTCTGGAGGTCCGTTCTTAACCTGAAACTGTTCTTAACCTGAAGCACCACTTTAGCTAATGGGGCCTCCTCCTACACGATTTCTGTTCTCATCCTGAAGCAAAGTTCTTAACCCGAGGTAATATTTCTGGGTTAGCGGAGTCTGTAACCTGAAGCATATGTAACCTGAAGCGTATGGAACCCGAGGTACCACTGTACCACTGTAATTTCAATCCATTGGTTCAGGTCCCAGCCTCTGTAGCAGCATAAAACAAGTTTTCTCCATCTTCCCTGTAGCCGCCCTTCAGATATTTGAAGATGGTGACCATCTCATCTCTCAGTTTTCTCCTCTCCAGACAAAACATAACCAACTCCTTCAACTGTTCTTCACAACATTTAGCTTCCAGACCTTTTATCATCCAAGGAAGGAGAGTATACAACTTCTTAAGGGAGTCCGTTCCACTTGGAAAAACCTATTACCACCACCATCTTCCATGAGGCAGCCCGTCAGATATTTGAAGATGGCTATCATATCCCAGTACGTTTCCGAGCACAATTCAAAGTGGTGGTGCTGACCTTTAAAGCCCTAAATGGCCTTGCTCCAGTATACCTGAAGGAGCGTCTCCACCTCCATTGTTCTGCCTGGACACTGAGGTCCAGCTGCGAGGGCCTTCTGGTGGTTCCCTCACTGCGAGAAGCCAAGTTACAGGGAACCAGGCAGAGGGCCTTCTCGGTGATGGCGCCCACCCTGTGGAATGCACCCCACCAGATGTCAAAGGAAATAAACAACTACCTGACTTTTAGAAGACATCTGAAGGCAGCCCTGTTTAGGGAAGTTTTTAATGCTTGATGTTTTATTCTGTTTTTAATCTGTTGAGAGCTGTCCAGAGTGGATGGGAAACCCAGCTGGATGGGCAGGGTATAGATTTATTTATTATTTATTATTATTATTATTATTATTATTATTATTATTATTATTACTATCTCTTCTCAGTCTCTCTTTCCAGGTTAAACATACCGAGCTCCTTCAACCGTTCCTCTGATAAGGCTTGGTTTGCAGACCCCTGATCATCTTGGTTGCCTTCCGCTCCACACCTTCCAGCTTGTCAACATCCCTCTTGTGCAGTGATTAGCTCTCCTCTTCCTATCCATCAAGGGATGCACAAGATAACCTGGGCATCTTGAGCTGAATGAGGCAGGTTGGGTGGCGGACCTGATGCACGGCTCCATTCGCCTTGCAGCCATGGTTGTGAATGGGTTACCACCGTGCCCCTCACGATTCCAAGATAACAACCAGCCAAATTAACTTGGGAAGGACTTTTAAAAAATCAGAATGCACCACCCTGCTGCCTTTTCGTCTGGCAATTTTTGAGCCGTTCATAAATTTGCATATTTAATTAAATGCCGCAAGCAAATAATGATTTTACACCCCCCCTCCCCAATTAGATGCCAAGTTCCTTGCTGCATATCAGAAGGCGGCTGGTTTTTTGGTCTTTGTGAGAAAGGCCAGATAAGGCTCCCTTGACATTCAGCAAAGGAACGGATGCCTATTAGTTGGATTTTAGAAATACAAAAAGTCTTTAGTGAATGTAGGGAGACTTAAAACACACGCACACACTCCAGTTTTCCTCTTCTGTGGATGCATTTGGGAAAGGGATGGGGTAACTTGCTCAGCAGGTTTATCCCAGTGGGCTGACCCAATCTGACACATAAAACTATGGAACTCCCTGCCACAGGAGGCAGTGATGACCACCCCCAGATGACTTTAAACGAGGGTTGGACATGTTCTTGGGCACAATGGCTGTGCTCTGCCTCCACAGTTGGAGGCAGCAATGTGTCATGGTCCTGTTCACGGGTGATCGAAGTCCCGGCTGGGAATGTCAGGACCAGGGGCAAGATGGTGTGGTGGGAGCAGGAACGGGAGTCCAGAAGCCAGGAGTCAGAAAGCCAAGAGTCTGAGGGTCAGAGAGCTGGGAGTCAAGAAGCCAAGGGTCCGAGGGTCAGGAAGCAAGGAGTCATGAAGTCAAGGGTCTGAGGGTCGAGAAGCAAGGAGTCACAAAGTCAAGGGTCCGAGGGTCAGGAAGCAAGGAGTCAAGAAGCCGAGGTCTGAGGATCAGGAAGCAAGAAGCCAAATGCAGCAAGGAAGGAACGGTAAAGAGCCAAAGGGAAATGCTGACCTTATATCCCTTCCCAGCTCTTGCCACCAGGTGCTGTGAGTTACCAAGCGGCCTCACCTGTGTGGCCATGCCTTGCCTCTTCAGAACAAACTTAGGAAGGCCCCAGTCCTGCAGAGTCCTGTTGGTCACAGGGCCTGGCTCCTGCACACACACCTGACACAATGCTTTTGAATCCTGTGTTCGAATCCTGTTTATGGGTTTCCCACAGGCATCTGGTTGGCCACTGTGAGAACTGGCCTAAGAGACTCTGGGTAGGAAGCTGAAGGGCCTTGAGGAACAGATGGTTTTCCCATCACGCCTTCTTGTTGAAGGTTGTGGTCCAGGAAGAGAGATGAAAATATTGGAAGTCAACCATTTTGGATTCTTGGACCACATTCTCCACTTTCTTGAGGAAGGACATTGGGCAAAAGATGTGCGGTATCTCACAGAGATTGGCAAGAATGTGTTTGCTAAGAGTCTCACAAACCTGATCAGGAACCGTAGGGTCCCTTCCAACTTTACTATTCTGTGATTCTATTACTAGATGGTCAACCATTGGCCTGATTCAGAAGCCTAGGACCCACGTACCTACAGGACTGCCTCTCCTGCTATGCCCCGCAGAGGACCTTATGGTCCACAAATGACAACACTTTGGAGGTCCCAAGTTGCAAGGTTGGTCTCAACTAGGGCCGGGGCCTTTTCAGTACTGGCCTTGACTTCGTGGAACGCTCTGTCACAAGAAACTAGGGCCCTGCGGGACTTGACATCTTTCCGCAGGGCCTGCAAGACAGAGCTGTTCCACCTGGCCTTTGGTTTGGACTCAGTCTGACCCTTATGTTTCCCTCCCCTTATGGTTTTGATCTATGGGCTACTTTTAAAATGAGGCTGCATTTTAAATTGCATTTTAACCTGTATTTTAAATTGGTTTCCCCCCCCCCCCCCATTATGTTTTTACTGTAATTTTACTGTTGTTAGCCGCCCTGAGCCTGGCTCTGGCCGGGGAGGGGGGGTTATAAATAAATATTATTATTATTATTATTATTATTATTATTATTATTATTATTTTCTGAAGTTCTCACCCTGGGCCAGCAGGGGGATACTGTAGATAGTTATGCAAATAATGGATCGAAAGAGACATTCAGTGATTGGATAGTTTTAGAAAATTGTTACAGTTACGTTGTACTGGAGCTCTATATAAGCAGGCTGACTGAACCCTTCAGTTGAGTTCTGTTCCGGCCTGTGAATAAACAAGAGCTGTTTGAAGAATCGCTGTGTCGTCTGATATGTTCACCCACAACTTAACAATTATTATTATTATTATTATTATTATTATTATTATTATTATTATCTTATGCTGCTCCCAGTAAATCAGCTTGCCGAGTTGTGCAGCTGTAGATTTTGATACCATTTCAGTGTGTGTGACATAGGCATGAAAATATGTGTTTGACTCAAAATGCATATCTTATGGACGGGCGAATTTAGGAGCATTGAAGACACTGGCAGAGGAAGTGGGGAGCGGGGGGGAGCTCACCGCCCCCGGCAGCGCAATCCTGGTGGGGTACCATCGTGGCTGTCCCCCCGCCTGTGCTGGGCGCCATGCCCCTGCGGGCGGCATGCCATGCCCCTGGGACGTGTGCCAGCCATGCCCCCACCTGCTCTCCGCACCCCGGTGCTGGAGCACGAAGCTCTGCCACTGATTGAAGTGTGTGCATTTCATGTTTTTTTTAAAAAAGGCAATTTATTTTACGTAATGTACAGACAACATCAGAGAGGGCGTTGGTTTCTGTTTGGACTCGCGCTGACCACAAAAGGCCCTGCTTCTGTTCTCCTGCAGTTTGGCTTCCCGCATTCATCCCGCTGCCCGTTGTGGTGGGATTTTGCATAAGTAATTACAGAAATTAATGACTTTATTATCATGTTAATCCCACACCATTCATTTCAAGGCAAAGGAAATGGGGAAACCAAAATCCAATAAATATGTATTGTTTGCAGACTGAAAGCAGGAATGGCAAATATGGCTGAATCCATTTCCATTCTGGACATGAGATGAAAAGAAAAGCCATTGGCCACCTCTGCTCCTTTTTCCATTTCTGTAGGAATTCTCCAACACCTTTATACAAAATGCACAGGGTGCTAGTCAACTGGCAGTGTGGCACAGTGGTTAGAGCGTCCAACTATGAACTGGGAGACCAAGGTTTGAATCCCACCACTAGGCCATGAAACATTCACTGGGTGTGACCTTGGGGCAGTCATTGCCTCTCAGCCTAACCTTCCTCACAGGGTTGTTGTGCGGATTAAATGAGGAAGGGAGAATCATGGACACCACCTTGAGCTCCTTGTAGAGAGAGAAATATATAAATGCAATGAATGAACTCAGTCTAACTCAGAGTACACCCATTGAAATTGATGGCAATGACGAAGAGAGGAATAGCTCAGTCGGTAGAGCATGCGACTCTTGATCTCAGGATTGTGGGTTTGAACCCCACATCAGGCGAAAGATTTCTGACTTGCAGAGGGCTGGACTAGATGACCCTGGTGGTCCCTTTCAACTCAACAATTCTATGATTCTACGACTGGTTCAGGAATGGCCATGGGACTACTCTTAGTAATGCTTACTTGAGAAACGTACAACTGAAAAGTGGTTCTCTCCCGCCCAGTGCATTATTTCAAAATAAAAAATAAAATCTGCACAGAACAGGGGAGGGCAGCGAGACTGCGAGGGGGTACTTAGGCAGGGACACAGGTGGCGCTGTGGTCTAAACCACTGAGCCTCTTGGGCTTGCCGATCAGAAGGTCGGCGGTTCGAATCCCCGCGACGGGGTGAGCTCCCGTTGCTCGGTCCCTGCTCCTGCCAACCTAGCAGTTCAAAAGCACACCAGCGCAAGTAGATAAATAGGTACCACTGCGGCGGGAAGGTAAATGGCATTTCTGTGCACTCTGGTTTCCGTCATGGTGTCCTGTTGCCCCAGAAGCACGTCAATGTGCAAGTAGATAAATAGGGCTCCTGTCTAAAACGCAGGACAGTCAGTTTAGACAGCTAAATGGACCAATGATCTGCCTTGAGTGTCGGAAGGCCGGTGTCTCTGATCCACAAGCAGGACTTGGATGTAAGCTGTACTTACCTCCTGCTCCATAAGCTCTCCTGGTGCTGACTCCTCTGAACAGGAACGCCCGAGGTGGAATCTACAGTCCTGAAATGCTAAATGTATAGACATCAGAAGTGCTTGCAGGATCCTTCTTGCAGGATCCAGCCATAGCTGTCAACTTTTCCCTTTTTTTAAGGGAAATTCCCTTATTCTGAATAAGATTCCTCGCAAGAAAAGGGAAAAGTTGACAGCTATGGATCTAGCCTATTGACTTGATCCAGTCAGTCCTTATGCATTTAGTTGGGATTAAGCGCCGCGGTGGGGTGAGCTCCCATTGCTCAGTCCCAGCTCCTGCCAACCTAGCAGTTCAAAAGCACACCAGCGCTAGTAGATAAATAGGTACCACTGCAGCAGAAAGGTAAATGGCGTTTCTGTGCACTTTGGTTTCTGTCACAGTGTCCTGTTGTGCCAGAAGCGGTTTAGTCATGCTGGCCACATGATCCAGAAAGTTGTCTGTGGACAAACGCCAGCTCCCTTGGCCTGAAAGCAAGATGAGCGCCGCAACCCCACAGTTGCCTTTGACTGGACTTAACCATCCAGGGGTCCTTTACCTTTTACCTTTTCTTAGGTTGCTCGGTTCATCCGTAATTTGGACTGTGATCTTCAAAAATGTGCTTGTATCGGACAAGCTGAGGTTGAGTTAAAGGTGTGGGGGTGAATGCGGTAAAGTCAGAATAACCTGGTGGTTCACGTTTGTTCTCCTCGCAACACCCAGTACTTGAAAAGTGACTTTGGACAGGCAAGCAGAATTGTACCACTAATCCCGAGCAGAAGACTCCCGTCGTGGAATGGCTCCTCTGTGGACGACTTAGTATTCTGCTGTCATCGCAGAAATGCTGTTTTATGGAAATCGAGGTCACCCGGAAGAAAGACGTCGGAGCGCTTTATCGCGTTTCTATCTGAGCCTCGCTTGCTCCCTGACAGCCTCTGCGCTTGTAACTTTTGCAAAGACATGAATGGAAGGAGAACGTGAAGCTGCCATGTTCTCGCTAAGGGTTTCCTTCCCCGAAAAAGCTGGGATAGGGGCCGGGAAACTCATGCCCCTCATAAGAACATAGGAGGAGCCTGCTGAATCAGAACAATGGCCCATCTAGTCCCACATCCCATTCTCCCAGCCTGTGGGAAACCTGGAAACAGGATTCGAACACAGAGCCCTCTCCCCTTCTGTGGTTCCCAGCGCAGAAGCATTGGTGCCTCCAACTGCAAAGGAAGAACATAGCCATTGTGCCCAAGAGCCGCTGATGGCCCTCTCCTGCATGAATTTCTCCAATCCTCTTTTAAAGCCATCCACGTTGGTGGCTCTCCCTGGTCTCCAGTGGCAGAGAGTTCCATAGTTAAAGTATGCCGTTCCTTTCATAGAATCCTAGTGTTGGGACCAATCCAACCGCTTTCCAGGGCAGGAGATCTAGACAGAGAGCCATCCTGTCTTTACTTGAAAACCTCTAGTGAAGAAAAGTCCATCTCCTCAGTCTCCTCCATGGTCGAAGAACTCTTAACATCAGGGTAGTCTTCCCAATCAAAACCCTTCTTCTTGTGACTTGGCAGTCTTTATATCTATCTGTCTCAGGAAAGAGATAGCCTCTGAGCATGTGTGGAGTGCCATTCCTTTTTAAGATTCTACACCCAGCCCGTGGACATCTAAGGGTTTGGATAAGGACTTGTGAATTCCAATTTCTCTCAGTTCCTCGTTTACCCCCATCTTAAGTTCAGTTCTCCATGTTCTGGCATCTGTTTCTTGCAGAAACAGTTCCCTCACTGCGAGAAGAGAAGTTACAGGGAACCAGGCAGAGGGCCTTCTCGGTGGTGGCGTCCGCCCTGTGGAACGCCCTCCCACCAGATGTCAAAGAGAACAACTACCAGACTTTTAGAAGACATCTGAAGGCAGCCCTCTTTAGGGAAGCTTTTAATGTTTGATGCATTACTGTATTTTAATATTTTGTTGGAAACCGCCCAGAGTGCCTGGGGAAACCGAGTCAGATGGGCGGGGTGCAAATAATAAATTATTATTATTAGTAGTAGTAGTAGTATAGATTTGGAGGGACCGCCCTAAACACTAGGAATTAATAAATGGGGATTTTGATTAATTGGGATATGGATGGAGGTACAAGCTGCAGAGCTTTGCCAGACAAGGAATCCCTGGGCTTCCTTGTTTAAACCAGCCTGGCTGGACTTGTTGTTGTTTAGTTGTTGTTGTTTAGTCATGTCCAACTCTTCATGACCCCCTGGACCAGAGCACGCCAGGCACGCCTGTCTTCCATTGCCTCGCGCAGTTTGGTCAAACTCATGCTGGTAGCTTCGAGAACACTGTCCCACCATCTCGTCCTCTGTCGTCCCCTTCTCCTTGTGCCCTCCATCTTTCCCAACATCAGGGTCTTTTCCAGAGAGTCTTCTCTTCTCATGAGGTGGCCAAAGTATTAGAGCCTCAGCTTCAGGATCTGTCCTTCCAGTGAGCACTCAGGGCTGATTTCCTTCAGAATGGAGAGGTTTGATCTTCTTGCAGTCCATGGGACTCTCAAGAGTCTCCTCCAGCACCAGAGTAAATCTGTTAACATGACAAAAGGGGTTGGTGGGCTATCTGAGAAGAATCCTTTGACCTGGGTAGACAGGTGTTGACATGCTGATGAGGTGTGTGTTTGAAGGGACAGGGGGAAAGAGTTTTTAGCAAGGTGTGCTGGGAAGAAGAAGGGGAGAGAAGAAAGACTGGGATCCATCTTGGGCAGGCTGGCTGCAGGCTGGCTGGCAGAGATGCCTTGGACTCCATGGCTGAACTGCTGTGGGGAGCAAGACCCTCTTAATATGACCACGCTGCAAGATCTGGACTCCCTCCATGCAGACTAAAGGTGTAAATAGGCGAATAAACCATATTTCTTAAAGCTGTGACAGTCTCCGCTGTGTCTCAATTCTCCAAAGGACCACAGACCCTCAGTGAGTGCCTGGAACCCCACGGGTTCTTGCCACCGATTGGCGGGGAGAGGGGGAAGCACTCAACTTTTGTAACATTATCACTGTTTAAAGTCCTCATGAAAATTCAAGGGACGTGGGTGGCGCTGTGGGTTAAACCACAGAGTCTAGATCAGAAGGTCTGCAGTTCGAATCCCCGCGACGGGGTGAGCTCCCGTTGCTCGGTCCCTGCTCCTGCCAACCTAGCAGTTCGAAAGCACGTCAAAGTGCAAGTAGATCAATAGGTACCACTCCGGCGGGAAGGTAAACGGCGTTTCCGTGCGCTGCTCTGGTTCGCCAGAAGCGGCTTAGTCATGCTGACCACATGACCCGGAAGCTGTACGCCGGCTCCCTCAGCCAATAAAGCAAGATGAGCGCCGCAACCCCAGAGTTGATGACGACTGAACCTAATGGTCAGGGGTGCCTTTACCTTTACATGAAAATTCACCTGCAAATTCATCTTGATATGCAAACGTTGGTATGCGATTTCTCCTAACATAATGCACATCTTTGCAAAGCAATTTCCCCTAACATCATGGGTTTCTCACTAACATATGCATTTTTAGGCACACTTTACCCCAGTGTATTTATTTTTGCACATCTTGCTTGTAACGAGAATTGCATTGCACCATTCGGAGAAGTGCAAGTTTCAAAGGACAGCTTTGTTACGGCTCATGTATCACTTTGGAAATTGCGGATTTGGTAGTTCGCCGATAAAATGCAAAATGCATTGAATTTCTCCCCCATAAAGAGGTTGGGGTTCCTGGGTCGGGGGTGCTGATTTGGGGCTGCTGGACTTCTCCCGCACTTCTCCTTTTGCAAATTAACTACTAGCTGTGTGTCAAAGCAGAACGGGTTTTATTCTGTTCAGCCGCCTTTTTTTGCATTGCTATTCAATCAGCACTCGAAGGTCAACTTGAGAAAAAGAAACCCTCTCTTCTTCTTTTAAGGGGAAAAACAATGGCAACATCATTATGCCTGGGGATGCAGCAATCGCTGAGCCCCCTTATCTTTAATTGGAGGGGCTGGGGAATTGCAGGAAGGCTGCCAGGACTCCTTGTCTCAGGGGCATCAGATAAGGATTCTTGAGATGACCTCCAAGCTTTGGTGGGCATGAGATGCCCGCCCCTGACTGGCAAAGAAGGAACCATAGAATCAAAGGATTGTAGAGATGGGAGGGACCACGAGGGCCATCTAGTCCAGCCCCCTGCAGATCAGGAATGTTTTGCCCAGTGTGGGTCTCGAACCCACAACCCTGAGATTAAGAGTCTTGTGCTCTACAGAATGAGCCATCTGTGGAGGGAGGAAGTGACTGTTCAAAAAGGGCTCATGTGCCCCCGAGGCAATGTTCGATTACCCAGGAAACAAACTAAGCACCTTCATGAGGTGAGGGGACACAGCAAGCAGGGGACACATGCAAAAATGATGATGATGATGATTATAATCATGAGCAAAATCAGAACTTTGCTGGGTGTCCTTACACCCCACTCCACTCTTGCCCATTTTTTCCTGTTCTCTTCTTACCACTTGTTGTGGTTTAGTCATTTAGTCATGTCCGACTCTTCGTGACCCCATGGACCAGAGCACGCCAGGCACTCCTGTCTTCAGTAGATGTGATGGTCATCCGAACTGAATTCGCCCATTCCCGTCCATTTTAGTTCACTGATCCCAGGATGTCAATATTTATTCTTGCCATCTCATTTTGACCACATCTAGCTTACCAAGGTCCATGGTTCTTCATTCCAGGTTCCTATACAATATTTTTCTTTACAGCATTGGACTTTCCTTTCGCTTCCAGGCATATCCACAACTGAGAGAACTTTCGGCTTTGGCCCAGCCGCTTCATCAGCTCTGAATCTACTTGCACTTGTCCTCTGCTCTTCCTCAGTAATATGTTGGACGCCTTTTAACCTGAGGGGCTCATCTTCCAGCGTCATAACTTTTATATGCCTGTTGTCTTTGTCCATGGAGTTTTCTTGGCAGGGATACTGGAGTGGCTTGCCGGTTCCTGCTCCAGGTGGTTCACGTTTGGTCAAAACTCTCCACTATGACCTGCCCGTCTTGGGTGACCCTGCAAGGCATAGCTCATAGCTTCTCTGAGTTATTCAAGCCCCTTCGCCACGGCAAGGCAGTGATCCATGAAGGAGTCTTACCATTTATCCCCAGCTAAATGCATAAGGACAGACTGGATCAAATCAATAGGCTAGATCCTGCAAGCTGGATCCTGCAAGCACTTCTGATGTCCATACGTTTAGCATTTCAGGCCTGTAGATTCCACCTCCCCCCTCATGGATCACTGCCTTGCCGGCGAAGGGGCAGGTGAAAACTTTCTTTTTCCAGCAGGGAGCTGACTGCATTTTAAGAAAAGAGCTGGAGCTGTGATGTTTTTATTGCAATGATCAGCATCTTAAAAAGCAGAGACATCACCTTGCCGACAAAGGTCCATATAGTTAAAGCTATGGTTTTCCCAGTAGTGATGTATGGAAGTGAGAGCTGGACCATAAAGAAGGCTGATCGCCGAAGAATTGATGCTTTTGAATTATGGTGCTGGAGGAGACTCTTGAGAGTCCCATGGACTGCAAGAAGATCAAACCTCTCCATTCTGAAGGAAATCAGCCCTGAGTGCTCACTGGAAGGACAGATCCTGAAGCTGAGGCTCCAAGACTTTGGCCACCTCATGATAAGAGAAGACTCCCTGGAAAAGACCCTGATGTTGGGAAAGATGGAGGGCACAAGGAGAAGGGGATGACGGAGGACGAGATGGTGGGACAGTGTTCTCTAAGCTACCAGCATGAGTTTGAACAAACTGCGGGATGCAGTGGAAGACAGGAGTGCCTGGCGTGCTCTGGTCCAGGGGCTCACAAAGAGTCGGACACGACTAAACGACTAAACAACAAAGATTCCACCTCAGGGGTTCCTGTTCAGAAGAGTCAGCACCAGGAGAGATGCTTGCGAATCAGAGACACCAGCCTCCCGACACTCAAGGCAGATCACTGGTCCATTTTGCTGTCTAAACTGACTGTCCTGCATTTTAGACAGGAGCCCTATCCCAGCCCTGCTGGGAGATGCAAAGAATTGAATCTGGGACTTTTTTTGCATGCAAAGCAGATGCTCTACTGCTGGGCCTTCCCTGCAAGGGGGGAACTGTTTGCAGATAGCCTGCTGCTTGATATGAGAAGCCGGGTTGCTGGCTGGAAAATCAAATCTGCTCGCAGGGAGGTGTGCCAGCTTTCTCTTTAAAATAGCAGGCGGAGGCGATTATCTGCAAGTAAACATGCTTGCAGGTAAACATGCCAGTTACAGGGGAAAGCTTGCTGCAGGCCATGTCCTTGTCCCTGGTTATGTCTTGCATCATCAGGAACATGGCAAAGAAGTTATAGTATATTTGTTTTCTGAACTTGGGTCTCAACCCCATAAGAAGAAAGTGCACAGTATTTCACGGTATAAAACAGTGGCATAGCGTGGGTTGCCAATACCCAGAGCTATGCACATGAGAGTGGGGTGGAGAGAAACGGCTGGAGTAAGCATGCACATTCAACTGCCTAATGGTGTCCACATTGCCCAAGAGCAGGGGTCAGCAACCTTTTTCAGCAGGGGGCTGGTCCACTGTCCCTTAGACCTTGTGGGGGGCCGGACTATATTTTGAAGGGGGGGGATGAACGAATTCCTATGCCCCCAAAATAACCCAGAGATGCATTTTAAATACAAGGACACATTCTACTCATGTAAAAACATGCTGATTCCCGGACCGTCCGGGGGCCGGATTGAGAAGGGCCTTAGCTTGCCTACCCATGCCCAAGAGATTTCAGCTGCAGAGGTAAGAAAAGGAGTAGTTCCTGTGTCTTGAGAAGTCACTTCCTGGTTCACATGGAGAAGCCGTTTTCAACAGAGTCCAGAGACAGAAGCACAAAGCTGTATTAAGGCAGCAATGGGTGTTGAAATTTTGCACTCCTAACAATTTTGTGCCTGGGGTAACTGCCCCGTGGTCCCCATGCTATGCCACTGATATCAAATGCCACAGATCCTATATAAAACACAGTACGGCCTCGGAACTGCCCCCTTGCCAAACCCAGCACAAAAAGAGCTGTTAAGCTCTCCATTTTCTTCGCGGGATTTCAATGAGCAGCCTTCACCCACATATGGTTGAAGTCGCGCAGGTTAAATGTGTGTAAGATGCAATTGCAGTGTACTACAAATCCTTTGCTGCAGTGCGACTTCACACAGATTTTTTTTTTCCTGCAACAGTTTCTGGAACCTACAAGCAAGAGTTATTATACAATATGCTTTTCTGGTGCATTTTTCTTTTTGGCAATTCTCAGGGGGGGTTTCCTGAGCGTCAGGGCTTGGCTTGGGCACTTGGAACACGCTACAACGCTGGGTCTACTCCATGTTCCATAATCCACTGTTGTGTTGAGCTGCAGCGTACCATCCCGCTCTACAGAGGCGAATGCTCCCGGAAATAGATTCCAAGGCCAGGATGAAAGAGCAGTCAGTCATCAGCCGCGGTGCTATCTGATTTTGCTAAATTCATAAGCACGGTGTTTTCACAGATAGCACGCTTTTCCCGGTGGAAACTGCTGAGAGGTTATTACGGGCTCCTGGCTCTTGTTGCTGATTATCAGCTCTGTTTATTTATACATCTGTCTGAAGCAAGAGAAGGAGATCTGTCAGTCCTGGCAAGACATGGCGATGCATTTATCGGCTGGTGATACGGCAAGTTATACTCTTCTAAACAGCAAGCGCTGAGGCGAGCCTCCTTTATTTAATTGTGATCCTATCAATGGCTCGCTGACGTTGCCCGACTGAGCAGCGAAGATGCAAGCATCTTAATGACCCTTTGCAGGAAAAGAGAAGGCTTGAGGGGCTGTTGATTCCTCTCTCTTTTGGACAAGGATATGGGTTATTAAAATGCAGGCATTTCAGACAAAGCTCAGGCAAAAAAATAATTTAAAAAATGAAGCCGATGATGTTTATATTTTACTCTTATTGCTTATCAGGAGTTACCGCACGGCTGAGACTTAAGCAGGCAAGTAGATACTAAGATGGTAGTGCCCTGGGCAGAAAACCCCAGTGGTGTCCCCCCCCCCCCACTGGTTGAAGAAATTGTTAGACAAGGAGGCAGATCTGCAACAAACTGTTGCAGTATATCCTTTACTTCCCAGGGTTCCTATCTATGTATATTTATAGCTTTAATCCTATCAATGTTTAATAGTTTTTTATTGTAGTTTTTCCCTATGTTTTTTAGCAGTTCTAATTTTTATCTGTGTTGTTGTTGTTTAGTCGTTTAGTCGTGTCTGACTCTTTGTGACCCCCTGGACCAGAGCACGCCAGGCACTCCTGTCTTCCACTGCCTCCCACAGTTTGGCCAGACTCATGCTGGTAGCTTCGAGAACACTGTCCAACCATCTCGTCCTCTGTCGTCCCCTTCTCCTTGTGCCCTCCATCTTTCCCAGCATCAGGGTCTTTTCCAGGGAGTCTTCTCTTCTCATGAGGTGGCCAAAGTTTTGGAGCCTCAGCTTCAGGATCTGTCCTTCCAGTGAGCACTCAGGGCTGATTTCCTTAAGAAGGGATAGATTTTATCTTCTTCATCTATGCCCTCCCGCAAAAACTCCCAATTTGTCAGTCTTTTTCCAGGATAATGAGGAACCATTAATGAGTCCTCTTTTTTTTCAGCCAGTCAACCAGCTACAAATCCACCTAACAGCTACCTTGTCCAGCCCACATTTTAACAGCTTCCTCACCAGAATATCATGGGGACTTTGTCAAAAGTCTTACTGAAATCAAGATACGCTATGTCCACAGCATTCCCCTAATCTACCCGGCTTGTAACTCTATCCAAAACCAAAACGAAACAAAAGACATGAGATTCGTCTGGTGTGACCTGTTTCTGAGAAAGCCATGCTAGGTCTTAGAAATCACAGCATCCTTTTCTAAGTGCTCACAGACCAAAGACTCAGCTATACAGCTGCAAATATAACATTTTAAGTGCATTATACAAATGTGACACTAGATGGCAATGGTGAGCTTAGGGCAATTTCAATATATTTTTCAAAATGTGTTTTTTTTAAAGCATTTTGACAGTGTTTTCTATATGTGTCTAGATTCCACCCAACAGTTGAATGATCTTGTGCTGGTCCCGTGGGTTTCCATGAGGCGTGGTCCGAGTTCAGTCCGAGGTCGAGGGTGCTGTATTGAAGCTGTCTGTCAAAGTTGAAGCTGGGTCCAAGGCAGGGAGTCGGATGAGGTCAGGAGATCCGGCAGGACAGGGTTCAGGCAGGAACTGGCTACCAACAACATTTCTCCTGCAACCAGGGACTGGGGCTGGCCAGCTTTTATCTGCACCGAGGCATAGGGTGGCCCCGGTCCACAGGTGACTTGCCTCTCCTGGCCTGGAGGCGAGCACTCCTCCTGCGGGAACTTAGTTCCCTTCGCCTCTCTGCCCTGAGCCTCTGCAGCTCAGGAGAGGCTGGAGGGTTACTGGACCCAGAGGCAACCTCAGCTTCCCCTGACGGGGCTGAGAGTGGAGCACCTGCAGGCAGTGGGTCCTCCATCACCTCAGGAGCCAGAGCAGACTCAGCTGGTGCCTGCACCTGAGGATCCAACACAGGTGAGGACCCTTCAGGCTCAAGCCCCAGCCCCGGCTCAGCTGGTTCTGGAGGCGGGGAATCCTGTGCAGGCTGGGATTCCTCAGGTTCAGCCTCTGAGTCCGAATCCCAGGCCAACACAGATCTGCTCTAGAACCTTTCCTGGTATCAATATCAAGCTCACCAGTCGGTCGTTACCTGCATCTTCTTTTTCCTCCTTCTTGAAGATGAGGACAATATTTGCCCACCTCCAGTCCATAGGGACCTCACCTGTTCTCCAAGAATTCTCAAAGATTATTGTGGGAATGCTCAGGGTGGAAGGAGAGGATATATTGTTTATTAGTATCCTTCCTAACTTGCGCTAGCAAGTTCCTTTATGTAGCAGAGTTACACACACCCCTTTTATATACACAGCAGATAGCTGGTTGCAGGCTCGTGTGAGCCTCTCACTATTATACAATTCAATCTGTCTCAGATTGAATTGTATGTTCCTGGTAAGTTCCCTTGAATCCCTCTTAAAAGAAAAAAAAGATGTGACAATCTTATTCAAAGTCAATAAAAGAAGTTTACTCACATCAGTTCACAGTTGGATCCCTGGAGGCAGACTCAGTTACAGTCATACCTCGGGTTACAGACGCTTTAGGTTGCACGTTTTTGGGTTACGGACGCATCGAAACTCGGAAGTACCAGAACAGGTTACTTCTGGGTTTTGGCGCTCATGCATGTGCAGAAGCACTAAACCCCACACGGATCACGTTCGCAACCCGAGCGTCCACTGTACAAATATGTACATGTGGATCTACCCCATATGGGGGAACAATCCCAGTGCTTCTGCTAACTGGGAGCTAGCAGAGCAGTCCTACCTAAAAGCTGGTCCAACGAAGAAGGAAGTCAAAGAGAGAGAGGTGTGCTGCATGATTCGTCCTTTCGTTACCTGGACAGGTTAGGACACGCCCACCTTCTATCACATGCAAAAGGAAGGATGCTCCAGCCAGGAGGAACAGGAAGTTTCGACTGGTTGGACCAAACATTCCCTCACATGTCTTCTCTAGCATTACAAGGAATGTTGTACTTGACTGCCTCTCATGGATCACTTCCCACAATTCTGTTATCACTAAATTTGGCAGTGCATTGTACAGCGGTACCTCGGGTTACAGATGCTTCAGGTTACAGACGCTTCAGGTTACAGACTCTGCTAAGCCAGAAATAGTACCTCGGGTTAAGAACTTTGCTTCAGGATGAGAAAAGAAATTGCGTGGCGGCAGCATGAGGCCCCATTAGCTAAAGTGGTACCTCAGATTAAGAACAGTTTCAGGTTAAGACGGACCTCCGGAACGAATTAAGTTCTTAACCTGAGGTACCACTAGCAGGTGAGGGCTTACTTTTTCCTTGTTCCAGCAGGCTTTGGGGAGCTGCCTTTTTTAAAAAAGAAAAGAAAAAGAAAGGCCATTAATAGCGCTGTGCTGTTTTTATTATCTGTGTTTAATAGATGTTTTATTCTTATACTTCTATTAGTGTTTAATTACTTTTTAATGATCATCTTTTATATGTTTCGAGCTTTTTTGTGTTTTATCTGCGCGTTTTCAATTTGCGTAAGCCACAACAAGTCCCGGTCTGGGGAAAATGTGGACTACAAATAAATATAATAATTAATTACAACAACGACAACCACCTTGGGAATCTGCAACCCCTATGTGATCAAAGGCATGGGGAGCGCACGGCAATATTTTCACAGTCATAAGAGATAGCAACTTGCTGTTTTCAGATGCCCATGTTTACCCCAGCGCCAATTAACCGGGATCTGTATGGTGATAATTGGAGGAGACGGGCTTGAGTTTGACAAGGGGTCACGCCGAACAGTCGCAGGCCGGCTTTCTGACCTCCTGGTCTGGGCTTTGCAAAGAGTGGGCATCAAAGTGGCGTCCAAGTGTGACAAGTAAATGAATCAACAAAAGAGGGGTCTCGAACTCGTGGCACTTTGTGCCTGGAGAGACTGTGAGGCCTCAGACCACCTTCCAGCTTTCAACTGAAGTATTTCCTCTCTGAGTCTGCAGAGCTCAGACAGGCTTGCGTGATCTCGCAAATGGCAAAGGAAGCTGTTCGACATGCAGATATTAAAAGCTCCCTTTGCCCCGCTCCGGGGTTTAATTTCCTTTTGTCCAACACAGCAGAATGAAGGGGTTTCTCTCCCCGTTAATGCGCTCTTGACAGCTGTTTATTAAGCCTTGCCATTAACAAAAAGGAGGGAAAGGACAAACCAGCCAGAGGAAAAAGTGAATAGGCAAGAACTACACAGATAAATAGAGAGTATACATAATATTCCACATAGCGTTTGGGAGCGTTAACGGCAGCAATCAAGAGAAATGTCCTCACCATTTACTTTTATAGAGGATTGCGATATGTCTGGAATTTCCTGGACATATCCAGAATGCCACATTCATCAGCAACATCTGGGCAGAAATCAGCCAACAACAACAACTTATTGTTTATACTGTTTTCAGGTTATGGAAAACTGATTTGAAATTCTTGGTGTGTTGTACGTTGAGAGAAAATTATATGAAAATGATGTACCGATGGTATTTGACTCCCAGTAAGTTAGCAAAAATGTATAAAACAAGTACAAATATCTGTTGGAAATGTAAAGAAAAAGAAGGCACCTTTTATTATATGTGGTGGTCCTGTAAGGCAATAAAGGCTTTCTGGGAAATGATATATAATGAACTAAAGAAATGTTTAATATAACTTTTGTAAAAACAAAACAAAACCAGAAGTTTTCTTATTAGGAATTGTAGGTACCAATATCCCAAAGGAACAGAAAAGGCTTTTTATGTACACGACAACAGCAGCATGGATGCTATTAGCCCAGAGATGGGAAGAAGAAAGGGCCCCTACCAGAAAGGAATGGCAAACCAAGCTGATCGGCTACGCTGAAATGGCAAAAATGATTGGAAAGCTCAGAGATCAAGAAGATAAAAACTTCAAGAAATAATGGGGGAAAATTACAATTTATCTAGGAGACCACTGTAAGCAGATGAAAACACTAGCAGGATTTTAATCTCGCTTGTAATGTAACAAATACTATGGACAATATGGATAGATATAAAATATAAAGTATGAATAATATGCAGTTGAAAAAGTTGACAATAGGACCCATGGAGGGGGTCCTGACATTTAGAAGACATCTGAAGGCAGCCCTGTTTAAGGAAGTTTTTTATGACTGATGCTTTAATGTATTTTTAATCTTTTGTTGGAAGCCACCAAGAGTGGCTGGGGGAACCCAGCCAGATGGGCAGGGTATAAATTTATTATTATTATTATTATTATTATTATTATTCCTCCCTTGTTCTCTTAGATGGCAACTGAGAGGTCCCAGAACTGAGTTCTGGCTGGAAAAAAAGCCATGGGGACATCCTATTCCATTGGTAGGCAACCTAAGGCCCGGAGGCCGGATCCGGCCCAATTGCCTTCTCTATCTGGCCCGTGGACAGTCCAGGAATCAGCCTGTTTTCACATGAGTAGAATGTGTCTTTTTATTTAAAATGCACCTCTGGGTTATTTGTGGGGTCTGCCTTATGTTTTTACATGAGTAGAATGTGTGCTTTTATCTAAAATGCATCTCTGGGTTATTTGCAGGGAATAGGAATTTGTTCTCCTTTTTTTTGCTAAAATATAGTCCGGCCCCCCACAGGGTCTGAGGGACAGTGGACCAGCCCCCTGCTGAAAAAGTTTGCTGAGCCCTGTTATTCCATACCCTCCAACACTTCTCCAACGAAAACAGGGACCTGCCAACATTTCTTCAATGAAACTAGGGATGTCCTAACGAAAAGCGGGACATTCTGGGATCAGATCAGAAACTGGACAGCTTCTGTAACTCCAGGTCTGTCCCTGGAAAATAGGGAGACTTGGAGGGTCTGTGACTCTTCCTGCCCCTTTCGCTCCCTAAACATTCAAGGTGGTTGCCAGGAGAAACTGGCAGAATATGCACGGCCAGTGAGCTTGATTTGCATAATTAGCAACCAATTTGCAAAATATGCAGATGAGGCGGCCTGGATTTGGAGGGCTGGGAAATGGAAAACCTGCAGGCAGAAAGGAAAGCAAGAGGTTTATGGAGCCCCGGACAGGGATTCCCAAGGCACTCTGCATATGTTTGGAAGCACTCGGCTCATGGCTCCAGAACAATGGAAAGGCAAAATTGGCAACCACCCAATCACCTTCTAAATCTGGCCCATGGACGATCCGGGAATCAGCATGTTTTTACATGAGTAGAATGTGTCCTTTTATTTAAAATGCATCTCTGGGTTATTTGTGGGGCATAGGAATTCGTTCATATATTTTTTTTCAAAATATAGTCCGGCCCACCGCATGGTCTGAGGGACGGTGGACCTGCCCACGGCTGAAAAAGGTTGCTGACCCCTGCTTTAACAGCATATTATTATTAAATTTATTCCTCGCTTTTGACGTCAAAGAGTCTCAAAGCGCCTCGCAATGTATGGATCGTTTGATTTTGATTAAGCGTGTGCATGTTCAAAGCAGCTCACAGCAATAAGGAACCATCAGGATGAAAAACAGTTCCTAATAGAAAAGAGTTCAGTAAGTATAATAAATAACTCAAAACAATGTACCGTATTTTTTGCTCTATAAGACTCACTTTTTCCCTCCTAAAAAGTAAGGGGAAATGTGTGTGCGTCTTATGGAGTGAATGCAGGCTGCGCAGCTATCCCAGAAGCCAGAACAGCAAGAGGGATCGCTGCGCAGTGAAAGCAGCAATCCCTCTTGCTGTTCTGGCTTCTGAGATTCAGAATATTTTTTTTCTTGTTTTCCTCCTCCAAAAACTAGGTGTGTCTTGTGGTCTGGTGCGTCTTATAGAGCGAAAAATACGGTATATTATTATTAATTAATTAATTAATTAATTAAATTTGTATACTGCCCTGGACCCGTAGATCTCAGAGCACTTCATGACATAAAATTACAATATAAACATAAGCAAAAACAAACAATCACCTTGCTTATACGAGATAACACAGTCAGTAGAGCATGAGACTCTTAATCTCAGGGTTGTGGGTTCAGGTGAAATATTCCTGCGCTGCAGGGGGTTCGACTAGATGACCTTCGGGGGTCTCCTTCAACTCCACAATTCTATGATTCTATGACTACGAATCAACGATGCAACGAGAAGCAGGCAACCCAACCATCAAGTCATTATGCAATTTATTTATTTATTTTATACCCCAACCTTTTTACCTTAAGAGCTCAGTGGAATGCACATAGTTCGTCCCCCTCCTCATTTAATCCCTAAAACAGCCCTGTGAGGTAGGCAAGGCTGGAGGCAGCGACTGGCCCACGGTCGCCCAGTGGCTGAGTGGGGGGATTTGAACCCTGGTCTCCCAGGTCCTAGTCTGACATTCTCACCACCACATCACACACATCTACTTGGGAGCAAGCTACACCAACCACAACGGGGCCTAAAAAAGGTAAAGGTAAAGGGACCCCTGACAGTTAAGTCCAGTCGTGAATGACTCTGGGGTTGCAGCGCTCATCTCACTTTACTGGCCGAGGGAGCCGATGTTGGTTCGCAGACAGTTTTTATGGGTCATGTGGCCAGCATGACTAAGCCACTTCTTGCAAAACCAGAGCAGTGCACGGAAACGCCGTTTACCTTCCCGCTGGAGCGGTTCCTATTTATCTACTTGCACTGGTGTGCTTTCAAACTGCTAGGTTGGCAGGAGCAGGGACCGAGCAACGGGAGCTCACCCCGTCGCGGGGATTCGAACCGCCCACCTTCCGATCAGCAAGGGTGTGTGTGTACAGGATTGTTCTACAAGGTTTTCTTCTGCCATCTTGGTGCCATGTTGAATTACTCTGTTGCAGAAGGCTCAAAGCTGCTTGAAAAGTAAAAAGGATCCCCTCCTATCTTTCGCTTTGGTTAAAAATATACCAGGGGGGAAATGAAATTATCCTGTAATATCATTTGTTAGAACTTAGGCCCCATCTGCACCAGACTTTTAATCAGTATCATACCACCTTAAGCTGTCTTGGCTTCCCCCAAGGAATCCTGGGAGATGTAGTTTGTTAAGGATGCTGAGAGGTGTAATGAGACCCCCCTGTTATCCTCACTACAATTCCCAGAGTGGCTGAACAGTCAATCTCTCTTCCCAGGGAATTCTGGGAACTGAAGCTCTGCGAGAATAGGGTCTCTGAAGGGCTCAAGATGAAATAAATTAATGCAGAGTTTTTGCAGAGATGAATGGTTAAATTTGGGGGATTCAGCCCAGTCTTAATGATAACTTTGCGTTGTTACGGAGACAACCTTATGGACAACAGCATCAGTTTCCTAACAAAATTGTACAGATTTGCAGGAAGGGAATTGATATGGAGAATATATTAGGCAGCGGCTTCTGCAGGCATTTAAAGACAAATAAGGTGCTACTATCTGTGAATTAAGTGAGGAAGAAGAGAGGGAGATATTTATTAACAGTGTGGACTGAGAGAAGCTCTTGGGGGATTGCATTTTAAGCAGATTTCCCAACTGAACAAGTTCCCCTTCAGACACCCCACACGAATATTTTTTTTAAAAAAATGTGAACGATCACAAAAGCACGCCTTGCTCTTTGCTTACACCCTGTATCCGTGGCAATTTCTCCATCGGAGGCAGTGGTTCTCCTCTAATATAGAGAGATTTATGATTCTGCCTTAGTTCAATAATGAACAGGCACAAAAAGAGTAGTGCCTTTACGGCTGTTTGCAAGGATGCAGTGAAGTGCTACCTGCCCCAAGGTGAAGACGGAAGTGCTTTAATACGTTTTTAATATTGTCTGGGCAGTTTGTTTTCAGCATGGAAATGGAGCACCTTCTGCCCTGATGTAAGTGCTTGATAAACATACACACCTACTGTGCATCTTCCGTTTTTCAAATAACACACTGTCTGTTCTCAAGTGGCGCATTTTCCCAGCTTCACATTTTCCGTGTGACCGCACACTAAAACAAAAACCTTGGGTGCTCTGTGCAAAGAGCAGCTGGTGAGTTGGTCTCCAACTTGAGTTTCACTCATTGAAATTAATCAGTACAACTAAGTTAGGTCCATTGATTTCAATGGGTTTACTCTGAGCAAAGCTCAGGTGACTGCCATTCATGGGTGTGTTGTAAGAGAGGTCAGGATGGGCGTTTGGAAGGGGGCAGAGCTCAGCACACCTGTCTTGCATGCAGAATATTCCAGCTCCAATCCCCACCATCTCTCCAGGTATTGCCTGAAACACAGAAAAAACCATTGCCGGTCATTGCAGGTGGCCCCAAAGTCTGACCCAATAGAAGTTTTCCTCTAATTCGTTGTATCTAAGGCAGTGTTTATGTCTCTTTTATTTCATAATGTTTTATGAAGAGGAAGAATTAGAGCAAAGGGGGAATTTGGACAATAATGAAATAGTTTGCCAATTTATGATTCCCACCCCGCAAGGGAAAGTAAGTATATTAAATGAAGAATATTAGATTCCCCCCCTCCCCTCGCAAATAGCGAAAATAGCAGCGTCCAGATTGGATTTGATGACCCCAAGCTTTGCAAGAGCTCTTGGGGGGAGAAAAGAAATGAAGAACCAGAAAAATAATGATGTTGGGTGCCCCCCCTTTCGAAAAAGACTCTTTAGGGAGATAATTGGAAGAGTTTCAAGTATAAACACACACACACACACACACCCTTGCAAGAGGCCAAATGAAGGGGATCTTTATGATTCTCTGATTCTACGAACAGCACATCCCTGGCTCTGATCTCACTTCCTCACTTGCGGTGGATAGTCAGTATTGCTCAGACACACAAAATCCATGCAATTTATCTGAAGGACGTACTTGGGCCCTGTCACTTAAGCAAAGCTCATATCGAAACAAATTGGGCAGGATATTGACTATTGCGCGGAAAGGGGAAATAATAATTTAATTCCATTGAAAGATGCTTTCAGGGAGTGGGTGGGTCAATAAGCAGTCAGATAACAGTTTTAATCAAAGAGCATACATGCAGCAAGACATATTGTTCTATTAGGAAAATCCCATACAGGGAGAACAAAGTACAGTCATACCTTGGGTTACAGGCACTTCGGGTTGCGCGATTTTGGGTTGCGCACTGCACCGAACCCGGAAGTACCAGAACAGATTAGTTCTGGGTTTTGGCGCTTGCGCATGCACAGAAGCGCTAAATTGCACTTTGCGCATGCGCAGAAGCACCAAATCGCGACCCGCGTGTGCGCAGACGCGGCGCTGCGGGTTGCGAACATGCTTCCTGCACGGATCACGTTCGCAACCAGAGCGTCCACTGTAGTACTTTTGGAGGGACCAGTTCAAGTTAGAGTGTGGTGCTGATGATGAACCCCAAGGTTGCAGGTTCGATCCCCATATTGGAGAGATTCCTATTGCTGCATTGCAGGGGGTGCACTGGATGATGCTCAGGGTCCCTTCCAACTCTACAATTCTATGAATGAGTGCCGTCTTTCCATGGGGCAGAGAAGGGTGCACATGGCAGGAAAATGTTGGAGGACAAAGAGCATAAGAACATGAGAAGAGCCTGCTGGATCAGGCCCAAGACCCCCATTTAGTCCAGTGTCACGGACCGGCTGGATACAAGGGAACCCCCAGGGGAAGAAGGCTGAAAGCGAGGGGATTGGTAGTGGGACGGCAATGCATGGTCAGAGGGAAAAGAGGGACCAGACTGGGAGGATGAAGTGCTGGGAGCTGAAGAGGCAACAGGGTTTAGTGAGCAGGAGGAGGCTGTGGCAGAGAGCAGTCCAGAGGCAAAGGCGGAAGCAGAGGGAGGCCAGGAGACAGACAGGCTGCTAAAGAGTCCAGGGAGTCTCCCCCTCCTGCTACAACCAGATTCCCTCCCAGTGGTCTCCCAGAAGCAGAAGAGGCATGAAGAGAGCCGAGCAACGAGAGACAAGATGAAGGAGCCTTAGGAACCTGGGGAGGAACCTTAGAGAACAGTGGGAAAGTGGTAACCTTCAGTCCTAGCAACTGCTTCCTTGGGGGCAAGACCTACTGAGAAGGGCTGCTGTCCCCACTAGGACTGAGCTGTTTTGGTTCATTTGAATAAAGAATTAACTTTGCTGACAATGGGCCTAATTGCAGGCAGAGATGAAACAGCGTACAGGGGGGAGGTTCAAAAAGTATCTACATGGTGCTCAGAGAATAACTTGCACCTAAATATTAGTAAGACAAAGGAGATGGTGTTGGACTTCTGGAGGAAGAGTGGGGAACCTGCCCTGTTGTATATCAGGGGGGCTGTGTGGAGAAATTCTCCTCCTTTAAATTCCTGGGAGTTTACCTTAGTGAGGACCTCACTTGGAAAATCAGCATAACTCAGGTGGTCAGAAAGGCCCAACAGAGACTCCATTTCCTCAGGGTCTTGCGAAAGAATAATGTTAAACAACAACAGATGAACTCCTTTTACCGGTCCACAATAGAAAGTGTCCTTTCATATTGTATTACAGTGTGGTATGCTGGCTTGACAGCCACAGAAAGAAAGTCTCTACAAAGGGTGGTGAATACAGCACGTGATATCATGGGCTGTCCCTTGAGTCCGTTAGATGACATCGCAAGGGATCGTTGCCTTAAGAGAGCAAGAAAAATTCTCAGGGATGAATCACTTCTTTAATCTTCCACCCTTGGGCAGGTGACATAGACGTATAAACAGCCGTACCAAGAGCCTAAAAAATAGCTTCTATCCGTGGGCTGTTAGGCTGTTGATGGAAAATAACATAGCAAAATTGACTTGTGAGGTGGTGTGTTGTTCAATAAGCACACAGAGTGCAATGAGACTGAGGGTTTGGGCAGGGGAAGGCTTGTTTAATTTCATTGTACACAGGTTGTAAAGGTAAAGGGACCCCTGACCATTAGGTCCAGTCGTGACCAACTCTGGGGTTGCGGCGCTCATCTCGCTTTATTGGCTGAGGGAGCCAGTGTACAGCTTCCAGGTCATGTGGCCAGCATGACTAAGCCGCTTCTGGCGAACCAGAGCAGCGCACAGAAACACCATTTACCTTCCCGCCGGAGCGGTACCTATTTATCTACTTGCACTTTGATGTGCTTTCGAACTGCTAGGTGGGCAGGAGCAGGGACCGAGCAACGGGAGCTCACCCTGTCATGGGGATTCGAACTGCCAACCTTCTGATCGGCAAGTCCTAGGCTCTGTGGTTTAACCCACAGCACCACCTGCATCCCATACACAGGTTGTACAATGACAATAAAGTTATTATTATTATTATTATTATTATTATTATTATTATTATTTTATTGCTGACCTACGCTTGGACTCCAGCTTCTCACACCCAGCATCCTGTGAGAAACTTGCAAGCAGGATTCGAGCAAACAGAGCTGTGTGGTTTGGACTCCGTTGCCTGCCTTGTGCCTCCTGAGCTAGACTTCTGCCTTCAGGAGGATGCTAATGTCCTGTCACTGCTGCTAAAATAAGATCCATCTCCCAGCCTGATCACATGGACGCTGGAGATGCTGGGAGGCTGGAGAATCCCAGCGGAAAGAGAAGCAGAAAGAGTCAATGTTTGCTTCTTCGTCCCAAGTCCAGAAATCAATCCAATGAATACAATCTGTATTTGCCGTTGTTGCTTTCGGTCTGCAAATGATAAATAATTGGTTGCATTCTCCGCTTCCATTTGCGGCGTGTTTCCTTTGCAACGACATGATCATGGTGGAATAAGGTGACAACAATGTAAGTTTTGTAACAAATGGCGCAAGTTACGTAATGTCGCCATGGTGGACAATGAGACCAATGGTGTAGGTTTTGCTGGAGCATGAACTGCAGCAGAATGCAATGGATGCTGGGTGGAGCCAAAAATGTTGTCTTCTGACTCCCTTAAGCACCAGGCTTCCTTTCACACACAGCAACGAAATGTCTTTGTCCAGCTCTGACTGCAAGCTGATCTTTGTGTTTGCGTTTTGAGGAATACAGTGAACGCTCGGGTTGCAAACGTGATCCGTGCGGTATTCACATTCACAACCCGCAGTGTTCACAAGCCGCATCTGTGCATCTGCGCAAGTGCGGGTTGCAATTCAGTGCCTCTGCACATGCGCAAAGTGCAATTTAGTGCTTCTGTGCATGCGCAACTGCCGAAACCCAGAAGTAACCCGTTCCAGCACTTCCAGGTTTTGGCAGTCAGCAACCTGAGAAAACGTAACCTGAAGCTTCCAGGTCATGTGGCCAGCATGACTAAGCCGCTTCTGGTGAACCAGAGCAGCGCACGGAAACGCCATTTACCTTCCCACTGGAGTGGTACCTATTTATCTACTTGCACTTTTCGACGTGCTTTCGAACTGCTAGGTGGGCAGGAACTGGGACCGAGCAACGGGAGCTCACGCCGTCGGGGGGATTCGAACCACTTGGCCCACATAGACACGTTGTTATTTGCACAGCTGCACGAAGAATGCAATGCAATGTCTGATTTGTCTTTTGTCTAAAGGAGGAAAGAGAGGTGCATCCTCTTCAGCCATAAGCAAATTGTATCCAATTTGGTTTCCGTTGATTCCATATATATATATATATATATTGCCAGGGGAAATTTGGGCAGGAGGTGGGGAAGCGGAGCAATCTGGTTTAGTTTGCCTATTAATGTGATCCTACCTCATCAGCCCTTCGCAAAACAAAACACACAAACAAACACATCTCCCCTAGGTTCTCCAGCCAAAACTATGTACAAAAATGTGTATTTTATGGAGAAAGTGTGCATAAAAATACATATATTCATGACAATACGCAAAACATGCATTATGTGTGGTGGAATTGCTTGCAGAAATGAGTATTATTAGGAGTAATGGGCACTAAAATTCTGATGAGTTTGTTGGGCTATATAATGGACTACATAATATAGCCCCGTTGCGACGGCATCAGGAGCATACCAGCGTATAGGTCTGGCAATTTTTTAAATCTGTTTTGTTCAAGCCTTTTGCAGACAGAGCCAGAGGGACCTGGTGTGTTGGTCAAGGAGTTTTCAGGGGCACTTCTACTGAGTCAGAGACATGGGTCCACTTCGCCCAGTATTGTCCATAGCTCTCCAGGGTTTCTCCCAGCCCTAGCTGGAGTTGCCACTGTGGATGGAGCAGGGGACATTCTGCATTCAAATCAGATGTTCCACCACTGAGCTACAGACCTGTGTTTGAGTGTGCCCTGTGCAGCGGTCATGGCTGACCTCTTGCCCCTTAAGGAGATGGCGTTCTTGGGAAGTCCGCTCCACTTCCCTGTGGGGAGGAGTTGCGGTGGACCGCGTGGCCACCCACTCTCCTCCGGGTGCGGGGGACTTAGTCCGCCATTGCCCGGGGGATCCCAGCCACGTCAGCGACTGGCCAGCCAATCTGCTCGCTGGGGGGGGGCGTGGCCAGGACCATTTAAGCAGAGGCGCGAGCCGGAGGGCTTCCTCTTTGGCTCGCTTCCTCAATCACTTGCCCTCCCTCCCTATTTTGCAGGTTCTAGTCATTGGCCTTGCTATGGCCCTTGGTTGGTCGCCGTTCAGGGGCCTGGTAGGAATTTTTCCACTTGGCAAATTGGCACAGGCCATTTGGTTTTCGCCTACCTCGTAGCAATCATCACAACTTTGTTAGGGTTGCGGTTAGGCATTGTTTGACCTTGTGATGGGGGAGGGGAGCTGTGGCCATCACCTGCCCCTCCAAGCTTAAGGGTATTCCGTTAAAGGAATCCGGGGTATGGATCTTGTCCAAAGCCTGGGGCAGGGGCTAGGGCCATGACACGACCCCGATGGGAACACCAGGGGGAGCTCGAGTTGGTCTGCATTGACAGGGCTCCCCCTTCCGGTGATTTACCCTTACGCATAGGGCAGGAGTCAGATATAGTCTGGTCCATTCAATAACAGTAACCTAATGTCTGTGTCCTAGACAGCATCTTAAAAAGCAGAGGCATCACCTTGCCAACAAAGGTCCATATAATTCAAGCTATGGTTTTCCCAGTGGTGATGTATGGAGGTGAGAGCTGGACCATGAAGAAGGCTGATCACCCAAGAATGGATGCTTTTGAATTCTGGTGCTGGAGGAGACTCTTGAGAGTCCCATGGACTGCAAGAAGATCAAACCTCTCCATTCTGAAGTAAATCAGCCCTGAGTGCTCACTGGAAGGACAGATCCTGAAGCTGAGGCTCCAAGACTTTGGTCACCTCATGAGAAGAGAAGACTCGCTGAAAAAGACCCTGATGTTGGGAAAGATGGAGGGCACAAGGAGAAGGGGACGACAGAGGACGAGATGGTGGGACAGTGTTCTCGAAGCTACTAATATGAGTTTGACCAAACTGTGGGAGGCAGTGGAAGACAGGAGTGCCTGGCGTGCTCTGGTCCAGGGGGTCACAAAGAGTCGGGCACGACTAAATGACTAAACAACAACAATGTCTGTGTCCTTGTGTGTGTTATTTCTCAACGAGTGGGTGGCTTTGGGGTCTCAACACTCAACTGAATTGCTGCTCTGGGACTCTGAACTCGACTGGATGTGCCAGTCTCTCTCCCACTCCTTTCCCTCCCCCTTTTCCCCCCAAATAAAAGGAAGCAAGGTAAGTTATTATCATAAAGAACAAGCACGTTACACACACCCTCCCAACAGCCCCAGGAAGCTGCCGTGTAATTGAAATGCAACTCAGATGCTCTGAAAATAGCAACATCTGGGGACGACGGCGACTTCACAGAGGCCTGGGAGAGGGAAGCTGCCTGGGTCTGGTGAAAGACTCTCTCTCTCTCTCTCTCTCTCTCTCTCACACACACACACACACACACACACACACACCACACGTACCATCTTCCCAGCCTTGCAAAGGACATCCTATAAGAAAAACTGCTCCCTTTCCCTTATGGGGTATTCCAGAGCCCGTATAGAGTCCTTAAATGGGTTCCCTATCAGTAGGAGAAAACAGAGGCCAACCAGGGTATATTGAGAAGCGAAGCAGCTAGGAAGCCTGATCTTTAGTAAAGGAAATGTTGCAATAGGGTCCCCCCTCACCACACACAAGAGGGAGGAGAACCCTGAACAATGGTGCGCAAGCCCTTATATAGACTTTTGAAATTGCCCACCCTGTAGCCCAAGACCACCCCCCTGAAACATCATACATACATCACAGAAGGAGGCAGTCTACAGCAGAAATCCTGCCTGCCAGGATACCTGATAATGGTCACTGATTGCATTACCTGGGCAGACTGGCCATTCTTTTGTGATGGTTAATACTTTAGTTCCTGAATCCAGGTCACAAGCTCGCCCTAGTCATACACAAATATGCTCTTAAGACAGGAAATGGGAAGGCTTTCCCCATTTGCCTCCCTTACTGCAGAGGAATATTTGAGGTCATTGGGAGAGTCTAAATGGCTCCAGGCTTGCTCTGCCAGAAGGCCCTCGGAGCTGGACCTCAGTGTCTGGGCTGAACGATGGTGTTGGAGATACTCCTTCAGGCTCCTTGAAGGCAATTGGTTGGCAAAAGCCAACTTAAATTGAGCCTGTGCAGGAAAACACCCTGGAAGATGACGTTAGCCATTTGTTGGACACCATGAAATTTCACAAATCACTTTGGAAACACTACGTGTAATACAAGGTTGGTCCAAAACAGTACTCACATTGGCAGAGAGTTAGGAGTTTGACGCCCATTTCTTCCCTTCCTCCTTCCTGGCATCATTGCCCTTCTTCTTTGCCTTCGCTGACCTTGCCCTCATTTGCCATTGGATCCGATTGGCTGAGGGCAACTCATGTGGGTCCGATTGGCTGAGGGCAACTGAATGGGGGTCACATGGGTAGATTTGGCCAACGCGATTGAATTCCAATGAGGGTAAATGAGGACAGCGAGGACAACAAAGGAGAACTGAGAAACAGAGCTAGCCGGGGGTGAAAAGAGGAATGAAACACGAAAGAAAAGGAAGATGGAGCCAAAGAAGTGAGGCATCAAAGCGACATGCGAACACTCCCTGCGAGCGACGAAAGTAACTTAAAACAGGGGGCATTTTTGAACAGTCAGGGAAACGGACACAGAATGAAGGAAGGAGTTTGGCTCAGAACTAGACCGTTCCCTTTATGTATAAAGTAATTCAGAGAGACGGCTCTGCTCCCATTGTCTTCCTGCGCACGGTGGATGCCGCTAATAAAATTATTAAAGCAGCAGGAGGTGACAGTAGTGGGCTCTTCATATTCATAAAAGCCCGTGGAAGCTTTCAACTTCTGGAAATTATAATTAAAGAAACAGTAAAACCCATGCTGGCTTTTTGCTAGATCACATTTTCTCCTCCCTAACCGCAGACAGGGAGGCAAGGAGCCCACGGCTTTGGGACGGCGTCATCCATTTCCCACGCGCCATCTGGACGCCCTGTGCTATGGTTCCCTTCCCTCCATTAGCACGTCCTTTGCGGTCAGGGTCAAGGTTGCCAGAGGACTGGTGGAGGTCTGGGCCGGCCCACCCATGAGGCAAGATGAGGCGACTGCCTCAGGCGTCGGGATCTACAGGGCCGACAGATCTGGCCTCTGAGGAATACCGTATTTTTTGTTCTATAAGATGCACTTTTTCCCCTTCAAAAATTAAGGGGAAATGTGTGTGCGTCTTATGGAGCAAAGTTCCCGCTGCGCTGTGGAGGCTTCAGGCTTCAGGCAGCTATCCGCAAGCCTTCAGAGCGCAGCAGGAGTTCCCGCTGCGCTCCGAAGGCTTGCGGATAGCTGCCTGAAGCCTGGAGAGTGAGAGGGGTCGGTGCACACTGATCCCTCTTGCTCTCCAGGCTTCGCTTCGCTAGAGAGGCGCTGCAGTTTTCCCTCTCTGCGCAGCGCCCCTTCAGCGAAGTGGGAGGAGAAATGGAAGGGGCTCCGTTTCTCCTGCCGCTTCACTGAAGGGGTGCTGAGCAGAGAGGGGGCGAATTATTTTTTTCCTGTTCTCCCCCTCTAAAACAAGTTGCGTCCTATGGTCCGGTGCATCCTATAGAGCGAAAAATACGGTATTTTGCCAGCTGCTGCTGCTGCCCCTCACATTTTCTTCCCTGGTTGTGGTGGGCTCCATTTTGTGGTTCACCTCAGGTGCCAACATGTCTTGAGCCAACCCTGGTGGCAAAGAGTGGCAGAATTTCCTGAGATGAGTGAGAGAAGGCTCATATCTATCTCTCTCTATTTTTCTATTTATTGAATTTTTTGTTGTTTTCATTGAATCCTGGTCTTGCAAAAAGCCAGAATGTTGTTGTTGCTAATTTGTTGCTCACTTTTGCCTCCTGCTCCATCCGCCCCCTGGCATGCGGCCCTCGGAAGGTCACCCAGAATCAAATTTGGCCCTTGAGCTAAAAACGTTTCCTCAGCAATCAGTCACCTCCCCATAGGAGAGGTGAAAAGACTGGACTGCATGGGGCCAGTGTTGATGCACACGGCTGCGACTAATTTCTGGGTGCTAAACCTGATTCCCAGTGAGAATTGCTTATCTAAGCTCTCCCTCTGTCAGTGTTTATTTCATAATTTGTTTTATAAAAGATATATACTGCTTGATTGTAGAAAGAAAACCCTCAGAATGGTTTGCGAGAAAGATGGAACAATAACATAGCTCAGTTGGTAGAGCACGAAACTCTTAATCTCAGGGTTGTGGATTTGAGTCCACGTTGCCAATAGATTCCTACATTGCAGGGAGTTAGGCTTATAGACCCACATGGTCTCTTCCAACTTTACAGTTCTACAAGATGTGACCAGAAAGTTTGGTGAATGGTCACAGAAATCATACAGCGAGAAATATTCAAACATACAACCGGCATTGGAAACCCACAAAATGCTCACAATTGTGTACAGAGATGAAGCTGTAACTTGAAAGGCAGTGTATGAGTGGTTTAAGCGTTACCGTGAAAGGCGGCAAACTATCAAAGAGCAGAACAGCGGCAAATGTCGACAGAGTTCATGAGTTATTGATGTGGGATCGGCGTTTGTCCGTCCGAATGATGGCGGAAGAATTGCATATTCCGTGTCAAATCGTTACGGAGGTCACTGAGTTGCTCCACCCTCCATATTCTCCCAATTTGGCCCCACCAGATTTCTTTCTTTTTCCAAAACTGAAATCTGCACTGAAAAGGCACAGGTCTTCCAACATTTCACATGTCCAAGCTGCTGTGACGAGGGAACAAAAAGAGGACTTCTCCAGAAGTCTCCAACAGTTCTACGGACGTTGTCACCGGTGTGTTGTATCAGAGGGGGCTACTCTGAAGGCCTGTATCTTCAAATATCCAGTAGTGATGTATGGAAGTGAGAGCTGGACCATAAAGAAGGCTGATTGCCGAAGAATGGATGCTTTTGAATTCTGGTCTGGAGGAGACTCTTGAGAGTCCCATGGACTGCAAGAAGATCAAACCTCTCCATTCTGAAGGAAATCAGCCCTGAGTGCTCACTGGAAGGACAGATCCTGAAGCTGAGGCTCCAAGACTTTGGCCACCTCATGAGAAGAGAAGACTCCCTGGAAAAGACCCTGATGCTGGGGAAGATGGAGGGCACAAGGAGAAGGGGACGACAGAGGACGAGATGGTTGGACAGTGTTCTCGAAGCTACCAGCTTGAGTTTGACCAAACTGCGGGAGGCAGTGGAAGACAGAAGTGCCTGGCGTGCTCTGGTCCATGGGGTCACGAAGAGTCGGACACGACTAAATGATTAAACAACAACAATCTTCAAATATTTCTCGCTGTCTGAAAATACTGGATAAAAGCCAGCCAGCCCAGTCCCAGGTTGCGGGAGCAACATTGTTGATAACATGTTCCTGCCTGCACCTTGTCCTGCTCTCCTGAGTTCCTGACCATGCCCAACTCCTCGCTTTGGACCTCGCTTCGCCCCTGACGGACAGCCTGCTTACCCTCAACCTAGGACCGGACTTAGACCATGCCGCACGGTAAACCCCACCAGGACCAGCACATGGGGGATGCTGATCTTGTTGACATGCCTGCAGAGAGAAAGACGTAGCCACAGGACACCAGAGTTCGCAACTTGGCTGTTCCCTATGAAACATCCACGCATTACCTGCCCACACAGTGTTATAGAGCGACCAGGTCTCTGCATTCCCTGTGCAGTGTTAATATGAGCACTGACCAATGTGGCAAACACAAATTTAATTGCCGCGCAAAGGTTTCCATAGTGGTACGGAAGCCGGAGGATGCTATGAAAAACGGTGTCTTAATAGCTCTTTACAAGCCCGATGTAAAGAATCGTTAATGCAGGCGGAGGCCGTCGTGCCGTCGTGTACCTTGGGTCCCTGTAAGCTAAACGGACCATTTGAAATAATCTTGTCGGGGAAGAGGCTTATCTGCCTATAGAACGAAAACATCGGTGCTTTTCTCCTAGCGCCGGTCGATAATGCTGACTTAGGCACAATAGAAGAAACTCCTTCGGCTTCTGTTCCACAATAGGATGGAATAAGCCACAGCTGGGAAGGGAGGGGAAGGGGTTGTGAACAAACTAGCTTGACTCACACATTGCTCTGACTCACACAGGACAGGGCGGGGCCCTAATATTACGTCCCCCTTCTGATTTTGCCCTGGTGTCCACACTTTGAGCAAAGACCTCTCAAAAGGGGCCAGTGGGGGGACATGATGGCAGGGCACAGCCAGGAGTTGTGGTCCCGTCATTTGGGCAAATCTCAGCTCCACCTGGTACGCAGGCTGAGACCCTATCTGCCCGCAGACTGTCTCGCCAGAGTGGTGCATGCTCTGGTTATCTCCCGCTTGGACTACTGCAATGCACTCTACATGGGGCTACCTTTGAAGGTGACCTGGAAACTACAACTAATCCAGAAAGTGGCAGCTAGACTGATGACTGGCCGCTGGGACCATATAACACCGGTCCTGAGAGATCTGCATTGGCTTCCAGTACGTTTCCGAGCACAATTCAAAATGTTGGTGCTGACCTTTAAAGCCCTAAATGGCCAAAGGTCCTGTATACCTGAAGGAGCGTCTCCACCCCCATCGTTCAGCCTGGACACTGAGATCCAGCTCCGAGGGCCTTCTGACGATTCCCTCCCTGCAAGAAGCCAAGTTACAGGGAACCAGACAGGGGGACTTCTTGGTAGTGGCGCCCACCCTGTGGAACGCCCTCCCTTCAGATGTGAAGGAAATAAGCAGCTATTTTATCTTTAAAAGACATCTGAAGGCAGCCCTGTTTAGGGAAGTTTTTAATATTTAATGCTGTATTGTTTTTAACACTCGATTGGAAGCCGCCCAGAGTGGCTGGGGAAACTCAGACAGATGGGCGGGGTATACATAATAAATTATTATTAATATTATTATTATTATTCACGTGGAAGAAACCAGAGGCTTTTCCTTTGGGAGTTATGGGACTAGAGATACCTAAACAATATAAAAATCGATTTATGTATGTGACCATGGCTGCCCGAATGTTATTTGTCCATTGATGGAAGGAAGAAAATGTCCCGACAAAAGCGGAATGGCAACAGAAACTCTTGAACTATGCAGAAATGGTGAAGCTTACTGGAAGAATAAGAAATCTAGGCGACAAAGTTTTTAATGTAGAGCGGAAATCGCTTATTGAATGTTTACAAAAATACTGCAAGCGGATTAAGACATTAGCAGGATTGATGTAAAAAAAAGAGCAGTGATATTAAACAATTATTGATTATATGTGATAAATAATAAATAGGTTTAATTTGGAAACGCAGTAGAACTATTATAAATATAAGGAACCGCAAAAAGTGGGGGATGGAGGAGTCGAAAGATGATATGTGTAATAACTTTATTTTGAAAGAGGGTTTTTTTGCTTTTTGTTTGTTGTAAAATGAAAATTAAAAATATATATTTTTTAAAAATCTTATGCACATGGATAGCCTAGGAAAGGGGGTTTATTCTTGCCTCCTGTAAGTAGAAGGAGATATTCTGTCTGCTGCTGATGGCATAACAAGCTATTCAGACCAGGAACACAATGCCCTAAACGCCGCAAGGCCAATTTCTTTCAGCTTGACATATACCAATGGCAAAGACTATTTAACCCCTAAAAGCCGCCTCATTCTTTCGCAGAGACCTTCCTCCAATATTGTGCTCGCCTTTGCAAACCTCTGTTAGGCTGACGATGGAATCGCCTACAAAATTTGGCTGAACTTGCTACGTGCATTTTTCTCTTTCAGGGGAAAAGCAAGAGGAATAGTCAACGAATACCTGCATTAGTCAAGGCCTGAGAGTAAGGGTCCGGCGAGGTTTTCAAAACCAATGAACAATGGCATCAACAAGACATGGTTTCAGGAGGCAGGCTTGCCGCTTGGCAAGTCAGAGCAGGAGATATTCTGGAAGGCAGAGGAATGTGGCATTCATAGGGTGGTGAGGCCACGTTGCAGAGGATGGAACAATCTAGTTTTCTGTAGCACATCCCTTAGACTACTGCAATGCGCTCTACGTGGGGCTACCTTTGAAAGTGACCCGGAAACTGCAATTAATCCAGAATGCGGCAGCTAGACTGGTGACTGGGACTGGCCGCCGGGACCACATAACACCGGTCCTGAGAGATCTGTATTGGCTCCCAGTATGTTTCTGAGCACAATTCAAAGTGTTGGTGCTGACCTTTAAAGCCCTAAACGGCCTTGGTCCTGTATACCTGAAGGAGCGTCTCCACCCCCATCGTTCAACCCGGACACAGAGATCCAGCACCGAGGGCCTTCTGGTGGTTCCCTCATTGCGAGAAGCCAAGTTACAGGGAACCAGGCAGAGGGCCTTCTCGGTGGTGGCGCCCACCCTGTGGAACACCCTCCCTTCAGATGTGAAGGAAATAAGCAGCTATCCTATGTTTAAAAGACATCTGAAGGCAGCCCTGTTCAGGGAAGTTTTTAATATTTCATGCTGTACTGTTTTTAACATTTGATTGGGAGCCGCCCAGAGTGGCTGGGGAAACTCAGCCAAATGGGCGGGGTATAAATAATTTATTATTATTATTATTATTATTATTGGAAAGAGCTGATTCCAAGCTGATTTACTTTGCTGGTGCAGCTACAGCACCCAGCGTGAATGGATCAGAAGCAACAGCAGCAAAAATAAAATAAGAAGTGAATACAATCCTAGGCTGCATCAATAGAAGTTTAATGCCCAGATCAAAGGAAGGAATAGAATCTCTCTATTCTGCCTTGGTCCGATCCTGCCAGGAATCCTGTAGATTTGATACAAGTTTTGATAGTCAGCGCCCCCTGCTGCCACCCTCTTGCCTCTTAGTGCCCCCTAGGTAATCCCACCACGCCCAGGGAAAGTTGCCGTCATCAGGAACTGCTGGTATAGACAATGTTACGTATAATTGTTTAACTGTACACTGAAATGGAAAATAGCTCCCTATATGTTCTGTATGTGTATTGCTAAAGGGAACATTTGGGAAATTCCACTGAAGCTACGTAGGAGCAGCAGAACACCTAACAGTTGCTGATTAATGAGTAATGTACGGTGGACATCTGATGGGAGGGTGTTCCACAGGGCAGGCACCACCACCGAGAAGGCCCTCTGCCTGGTTCCCTGTAACTTGGCTTCTCGCAGGGAGGGAACCACCAGAAGGCCCTTGGAGCTGGACCTCAGTATCCGGGCAGAACAATGGAGGTGGAGACGCTCCTTCAGGTATACTGGGCCTTTGAGGCCGTTTAGGGCTTTGAAGGTCAGCACCAACACTTTGAATTGTGCTCGGAAACATACTGGGAGCCAATGTAGATCTTTCAGGACCGGTGTTATGTGGTCTCGGTGGCCGCTGCCAGTCACCAGTCTAGCTGCCACATTCTGGATTAGTTGTAGTAGTAGCTAAATGATGGTTTGGATGAGTTAAGAAGGGAGTTATAAGTAACCATCTATATATATAGTAAATCCTAGGTATCAGCTTCAGTGTGTATGTTGGTAACAACTATTTGCTAAAGAGCTGTTTAGTAAAATATGTTTGTGTTATGTAATGGCTCATTATCGAGGTAACAACATTCATACATATAGGATTCATGCTTGCTGTATCTATGGCAACTGGCTATTTCGGGGGGAACAGTCTTGTGGGTGGCTAATTATCATCAAAGTAGTTTGTGCACCCCCAAAATCTATTAAAACGAGATGAGTCACACAAATTCGCAAGCCAGGTGACCCTCTTTCTGAGACGTATTGCTGACTATTGCACTTCGGCATACAACAAAGAGAATGGATCTTTGTTATGGGACTAGGTCTGTTTCAAGTGAGCGCTACAACAAAATGTTGCAGTGTATTGCCAACACACCCACCCACCCCAAAACAGGACAGTTCTTGTTTAAATATTCCATCCTCCAGGATAATACAAGCAAGCCTCCCCGACCTGTTGTCCTCCAGGTATCCGTGATGGTTGGGGCTGATGAGAATTATAGTCCAAAACATATGGAGGGCACCAGGTTGAAGAATGCTGAATTATATAAGACCAAGATGATGAAGGACCTGGGAACCATGCCTTATAAGGAACAGCTGGGGGAGCTGTGTGTGTTTAACTTGAAAAGGAGGAGACTGAAAGGAGATATGATAGCCATCTTCAAATATGTTAAGGGCTGTCACATGGCGGATGAAGCAGGCTTGTTTTTCCTGCTCCAGAGAGTAGGACTCGAACCCAAGGCTTCAAGCTACAAGAAAGGAGATTGCGACTAAACATCAGGAAGAAATTTCTGCTGGCAAGAGTTATTTGACAGTGGAACTGATTCCCTAAGAAGGTGATGGACTCTTCTCTCATTGGAGGTTTTTCAGCAGAGGTTGGTTGGCCATCTGTCATGGATGCTTCAGCTGAGATTCCTGCATTGCAGGGGGTTGGACTAGATGACCCTCAGTGTCCCTTCCAACTCTACAAGCCCTTTGTAGCTTAGGGCCCTCATATTTATGGGACCTCCTCTCCTGGTATGCCCCGTGGATGACCTTAAGGTCCATGAATAACCATAGTTTAGAGGTCCCGGGCCCTAAGGAAGTCAGATTATCCTCCACCAGGGCAAGGGCCTTCTCAGTGATGGCTCTGACCTGGTGGAATGCTCTGTCCCATGAGACTAGGGCCCTTCAGGATTTAACTTCCTTCCGCTTAGCCTGTAAGACAGAGCTATTCCGCCTGGCTTTCAAAGTGAACTTAGCCTGATCTTTTATTCCCCTTCCTTCCCTCCCCCTCCCCTTCTTATGAAGATTAACCGCTCTGCGATCCCACAGCTAATTCTCCCCTGGTCTCCTCGCTGGCCCAAATAGGACTAATTTAGCCAGCTAGCCCTGATGACCATCTAATGTTTATTGGTTGGATTTCCCCCCTAAATTGATTTTTGAATTCTGAATTTATTGTTATTCACGTTTTAGACTGTATTTTATGCTGTTTTTTGTCGCATCAATTAAGTCTTTTAAATTTGTTGTTAGCCGCCCTGAGCCCGGTTTTCTGAACCAGGGAGGGCGGGGTATAAATAAAAAATTATTATTATTATTACTACTACTACAATTCTATGGTTCTGCAATGATGAATTGGGACGGGAGCATGCTTTGTAGCTTCAACATGCTGCCTGTTGCCCTGAGTTTTCCGCGCATAAGGTGTCAGTCCAAGCATTTGCCTCTCCCCAGGTCATGCGTCCCGATGTGCTCCACAATGGGGCTGCCACATCCCTCCTGCATATCAGTTCAAGACGCTGCCGTGCTGAGTCCTTGCAAGTGATGTGTCAACATCTCTGGGGTCAAATGAAGCCACTGACCTTTTCCCTGCGTTTTCTGCAGACGTTGACTTCTGCCTGGCCCTCGCCTCTGAGCTGCGGGCGCTGCGGGAGACCCAACCCGCTTTGCCTCAGCGTCCTGCAGGTGCCACAACCCATTAAGTTCTGCCGCCCCGGTGGCCGCCCTGACACATTAGTCATGCCATGCAGGGGGCCTGCCTGCGGTGGCTGAAGGGAACTGGGTGTGAGGAAGCTGCTCGCAGGAAGTGGAGTGTGAATGACAGGCGCAACCTGGGCAGGAGAACAAACATCCCTTTCGAGGATGGAGATTATGCACTGCCAGAAGAGATTTCGCTCCTGCCTGTTGCCTTCGCCTTGCAAAGGTTGCGCAAAATTCAGGGGGCTACATCGCCAAGCGGAGAGATGCCAGGCAGGGAGAGATAGAATCATAGAATTATAGAATGGTAGTTGGGACCCCGAGGGTTGTCTAGTCGAACCCCCTCCAAAAAACCAAAGTGCTGCACCAGATAGATTTGTAAACATCGTTCAGCTCCTTCATGATAATATGACAGCAACTATCACAGATAACAGTGGCTCTCAAAGTGAACCATTCACAGTGGGAACAGGTGTTAAACAGGGTTGTGTTATTGCCCCAACTCTATTCATTATTTTCATTGCCATAATCCTACAATTTGTCAAAGGGAAACTCCCCACCGGAGTAGAAATCATATATCGAACAGATGGAAAGCTCTTCAATCTGAGCAGGCTGAAAGCAAAGAGTAAAGTTACTGTAACTTCCATCATAGAGCTTCAGTATGCTGATGACAATGTAGTGTGCGCACGCTCAGAGGATGACCTCCAAACCATCCTAAATATCTTTGCAGAAGCTTACGAAAAGCTTGGCCTATCACTCAACATCCAAAAAAACAAAGTGTTGCACCAAAAAGTACAAAATAACCCCTCTGCAGTGCCACAAATCCAACTCAATGGTGTAACGTTGGAAAATGTTGATCACTTCTCCTACCTAGGCAGTTATCTTTCCGCAAGGGCCAACATTGATGCCGAAATCCAGCATCACCTGAGCTCTGCGAGTGCGGCTTTCTCCTGATTGAAGTGCAGAGTGTTTGAGGACCGGGACATTAGCAGGGAAACCAAAATGCTTAGAATCATAGAATCATAGAGTTGGAAGAGACCACAAGGGCCATCGAGTCCAACCCCCTGCCAAGCAGGAAACACCATCAGAGCACTCCTGACATATGGTTGTCAAGCCTCTGCTTAAAGACCTCCAAAGAAGGAGACTCCACCACACTCCTTGGCAGCAAATTCCACTGTTGAACAGCTCTTACTGTCAGGAAGTTCTTCCTAATGTTTAGGTGGAATCTTCTTTCTTGTAGTTTGGATCCATTGCTCCGTGTCTGCTTCTCTGGAGCAGCAGAAAACAACCTTTCTCCCTCCTCTATGTGACATCCTTTTATATATTTGAACATGGCTATCATATCACCCCTTAACCTCCTCTTCTCCAGGCTAAACATGCCCAGCTCCCTTAGCCGTTCCTCATAAGGCATCGTTTCCAGGCCTTTGACCATTTTGTTTACAAAGCTATTGTACTACCAACCATACTGTATGCTTGTGAAACGTGGACCACCTATAAATGCCACCTCCAACTCCAATTCCATCAAAGGTGTCTCCGAAAAATTTTACGCATCACTTTGGAAAACAGGCAAACTTATGTACTGGAAGAAGCAAACAACGCCAGTGTCAAAGCGATGATGCTTCAACATCAACTTTGTTGGACTGCTCATGTTGTGTGGATGCCTGATGCTCGTCTTCCAAAGCAAATACTCTATTCTGAACTTTAAAATGGAAAGTGTAATGCTGGTGGTCAACAAAAGAGGTTTAAAGACTCTCTCAAGGCAAACCTTTAAAAATGTAGTATGAACACCGACAACTGGGAAACACTGGCCTGCGAGCGCTCCAGTTGGAGAACAGCCTTTACCAAAGGTGTCATGGGCTTTGAAGACACTCGAACTCAGGGCAAAAGGGAGAAACGTGCTAAGAGGGAGGCATGCTTGGCAAATCCACACCGTGATCAACTCCCACCCAGAAACCTATGTCCCCATTGTGGAAGGACGTGTGGGTCCAGAATTGTCCTCCACAGTCACTTATGGACTCACTGTTAAGACTGTGTTCATGGAAGACAATTTTCCTTGACTGCGAGTGATTGCCAAAGAAGAGAAGAATAAGTATAAGAATGCAGGAATCTCAGGTGCCTGGAGATGTTAAAAGCCTTTCCCTGTTGGAGTATGGGGACTATGGTTCCAGCTGAAAAGCTGATAAAGTCCTGCCTCTCTCACACAGACACATAAAATTGTAGAATTGTAGAGTTGGAGTGTATTTGTCTAATCCTCTTTTAAAGCCATCCAAGTTGGTGGCTGTGGCGTTTGCCCTCCTATGTGTGGGACATCGTACTGGGTTCATAGGGAAAGGTAAAATTGTAAAATGACTAACCAATGGGAACCCAGGGGGCAGAGTTAACTGTGTATAAGGTTTAAGCACAGAGATTTTTTTGGAGAGTTAGATTTGTTGAGAAGACAGTCTGGAGTTAGAAGAGGCAGATAAGAAAAGTCTGTGGGCTGGGCTAGTCTGGTGGGAGAGAGTGAGAGAATTTGTTAAGAGGAGTGAGTCAAACAGTTGAGATAATCAGTCAGAAGGTATTAGGAAGGTATAGGCCAGTAAGTGCTCACTGGAAGGACAGATCCTGAAGCTGAGGCTCCAAGACTTTGGCCACCTCATGAGAAGAGAAGACTCCCTGGGAAAGACCCTGATGCTGGGAAAGATGGAGGGCACAAGGAGTAGGGGACGACAGAGGATGAGATGGTTGGACAGTGTTCTCAAAGCTACCAGCATGAGTTTGACCAAACTGCAGGAGGCAGTGGAAGACAGGAGTGCCTGGCGTGCTCTGGTCCAGAGGGTCACGAAGATTGAGACAAGACTAAACGACTAAACAACAACAACAGGCCGGTAAAGAAACTAAAGTTAAGATACTGACAGGAATATTATCTGAGAAACCATAAACTTGTTAATGTTTGTTCACTTTTAACAACTGACTGGACTCAGTGTTTGACCAGAGAGTAACGGGTTGGTGGCAGCGGGGAAGCAAGCACAGTGGTGGCACAGGTATCAATAGACCGTTAAATGTCCGGGGACCCTGTGTGATCGCCACAGTGGCCATCACTGCCTTCTGTTGGAGGTTATTCCATTGTTTACCGTCTGCATGAAGAAGTACAATATTCTTGTGAGATCTGCAGGGGGGACAGCGGCCGATGAGTATATTTAAGCTAACTGGGCATGCCAGCGTGTGGTCCTGACTCAGATCAGTCCTGTCTGGCTTCGAGAGAGGCTCCCGTGATCATCTAGGGCGCTGCCAAAAGGTTGATGGGCGATAATTTCAGGCATCAGATGTGCCACAGCGATTTGGATCTGCCTTGCGAAAATCACATCCCTGCTCTTGCCGATAAGAATCCCAGGCATGGGATGCCCGCTGTTTGGGAAGGTGGAGAATATATGCGGGAATAAAGAGATAGATTTCCAAATTCCTAAGCCAGCTCGGCGGGAGGTGCCTGCCGCAGGATTTCTAAGGGCTGCAGAGAAAGCAAAGGCGTCAATCATCTAATCAGCCGTACAAAGCAGGGGGACGTGAAAGAGAGCAGCATTGCTGCTTTTTGCAGCCGTTCTGGAATATGACTTAAATGAATGCAAATATTAGAGCATTGTGCTCAGCCTGCTGTTGCCTTGGCACAGGGCTGGCCAGAAGTGAAACTTCTTCATACAATGGCGTTGCATAATGAATTTCTGGAATTCATGAGTCGGTGCTGTGCTATGAGCCTGGGGGACAAATGCAGCCTTCCAGGTCTCTCTGTCAAGGCAGACAAAAGAAAGTCCTTCTTCATTCAGCGCACAGTAAGGCTATGGAACTCACTCCCAACTTGGATGGCTTTAAAAAACAAATTCCTGGAGGAAAAGTCTGTGGCATTTTTCCATCTCTACCGTATTAAGCAGTTGGTCCCTTACCTCTCTTGCCCTGATCTGGCCACAGTGATCCATGCAACAGTCACCTCCAGGCTTGATTATTGTAACTCGTTCTGTGTGGGGCTGCCCTTGAAGCTGACCCAGAAACTCCAGCGGGTGCAGAATGCCGCAGCAAGACTCCTTACAGGGTCCTTGCAGCAGGATCACATTCATCCAGTGCTTTACCAACTGCACTGGATCCCGGTGGAGTACAGGGTCAGGTTTAAGGTGCTGGTTTTGACCTTTAAAGCCCTATGCGGCCTAGGACCCTCGTACTTAGGGGACCGCCTCTCCTGGTATGCCCCATGGAGGACCTTAAGGTCCACAAATGACAACATTTTGGAAGTCGCAAGGTGGTTAGATTGGTCTCAACTAGGGCCAGGGCCTTTTCAGTACTGGCCCCGACTTGGTGGAATGCTCTGTCACAAGAGACTAGGGCCCTGCAGGACTTGACATCTTTCCGCAGGGCCTGCAAGACAGAGCTGTTCCACCTGGCCTTTGGTTTGGACTCAGTCTGACCCTTATGTTTCCCTCCCCTTATGGTCTTGATTTATCAGCTACTTTAAAATGAGGCTGCATTTTAAAATTGCATCTTAACCTGTATTTTAAATTGGTTTTCCCCACCCCTCTCTTTTCCCCCTATTATGTTTTTATTGTAATTTTTTATTGGAGTTAGCCGCTCTGGCCGGGGAGGGCGGGGTATAAATAAATTTTATTTTTATTATTATTATTATTATTATTATTATTATTGGCTAGTAGTCCGGATGGCTACGCTCTGCCTCCATGTTTGGAGACAGCAACACCAGCTGCTGGAAACCACAGCAAAGGAGAGGGATGTTGTTCTCGGGTTCTGCTTGTGAGCTACCAGTGGGACATCTGGTTGGCCACTGTAAGACTAGGATAATGGACTAGATAGGCCATTATCTTGATCCATCAGGTTCTTCCTACAAAGGATGCAACTTCTCTCTATTGTTTCAGACAGGAGACATTCCCAGCCCTGCCTGGAGATGTCTAAGCTTGAAGCTAAGACCTTCTGCCTTCAAAGCAGATGTTCTGCCACCGAGCTATGGACCTTCAGACCTGCTGGTTCGGGTGGTCATGTGCCCCATTTCACATAGAATGGTCCTCCACTTGGAGGTCCCAGGATCCTTGCAGATCCACAAGAAAAGGAGTCCTCTGTTTGAAGCAGTGGTGTAGCATGGGAGGGCCATAGGGGTGGCCACCCTGGGCGCTAAAGTGTTAGGGACACAAAATTTCAACACCCGGTGCTGCCTAAACCACTGAGCCTCTTGGGCTTGCCAATCAGAAGGTCTGCGGTTTGAATCCCTGTGACGGGGTGAGCTCCCATTGCTCTATCCCAGCTCCTGCCAACCTAGCAGTTCAAAAGCATTCCAGTGCAAGTAGATAAATAGGTACCACTGTGGCGGGAAGGTAAACGGCATTTCCGTGCGCTCAGGTTTCCCTCACAGTGTTCTGTTGTGCCAGAAGCGGTTTAGTCCTGCTGGTCACATGACAAGGAAAGCTGTCTGTGGACAAACGCTGGCTCCCTGGGCCTGAAAGCGAGATGAGCGCTGCACTGCCTTTGACTGGACTTAACCATCGAGGGCATAGCTGTCAACCTTCCCTTTTTTTGCAGGAAATTCCCTTATTCCAGTGCCGTTTCCCACTGCTTCCCGCTGCTATCCCGGATTGTTAGATATCCTGTAGACTGTCCCCGGTACAGGTGAGGCTGCTGATCTCTTATTTTCAAATCTGAAAGTTGACAGCTATGGTCCAGGGGTCCTTTACCTTTACCTATTACAGCTGTGTGCTTCCATCATTGGGCTCTATTGAAAATGGCTTCTCCATGCGAACCACATGGAGACAACTTCTTCAGACAATGGAACATCTCTTTTTTTTCTTATCTCTGTGGCTGCGATCTCCTGGGTGACATGGCCACTGTTAGGCAGTTGAATGCGCATGTGTACTCCTCCAGCTATGTCACTGGTTTGAAGGACCATTTATTAAAGAGAATAAACCCTGAGAAGGGAGCGCTCACCTGGCAAGCTTTAGGACATAGGTAGCAGATGGATGAAGCGCCTGGCTCACCTGCTCAATGACTCCCCTCCTCCAACAGGGTTATAGGTATTGTATTTCCTTTTAATTTTTCGCAGGTACTTCTAAATTTTCATCTCTGCATAAACATTAGCAAACTTAATATTAATCTTTGTCTTTGTCCCTTTTTTGTGACGCATTTCTATTGGGGAGGGGAGTGTATTATCAGATAATATCTCTCGCCACACCCCAAACCCCAAGGCCACAGCCTCTCCCCCAAAAGCAAATCTGAAAATGCAGTCAGCTGCGCAAAGAATTATTTGCTACAAAACTGGAGGAAGAATTGCCTGTCTTCCAAGAAGGATTTCTGTGGCGCTATGGACTAAACTTATTTTTTAAATTTTTTTTTAACTTAATTGAATTGCAGTAACAAAAACCAAAAACAAAAATGGACG